TTTTTCTTTTTCTTTTTGGTGCTTATTTCACTGAGCATGATCCCTTCCAGCGCCATCCATGTTGCTGCAAATTGTGTTTAAAAAAATGTTAATGATGACAGTGATTTTCCTTTCCTGCTGTATCATTTGGGCACAGGAATACATTGCTAATATCCCATTGAGAATTAGAATGTTAGGAGTCTGAGTTGCTTCCTCCATGGTGGAGCAGGACTTATACCTCTGTGACTGGATGTACCTGATGTGCCTGAGGAATGAAAAAGTAAATAGGTTTTGGCATCTGATAGACATTTGTATAGCCTAGCTAATAGCCCTGCATGAATGAGTTTGCCCATTTGAGACAGTTTCTTTATCTGAAAAATAGGAATCTAACTATCTTTCGTCTTTGTGTGGGATACCTTATGTTCCTAGCATAGTACTTGACTCTGATAGTAAGGCTTCTTTGTGATTTGTGTTAATTGTGCAGCATATGTGTGTGTTCTGTATAGTAAGCAGTGTATCCTGTGTAGTATACATACTCTGATCTTGGAAACGATGAATATTCATCTACAACAGTTGCTGCTCCTTTGGAGAGCAGCTTCTCGAAGACTTTGCTTGCAGTGTCAACTCTAAATTTCTGCCTAGAAGGAGCTAACAGAGATAATCTTTCTGGAAGGAGAGGGGGTTGAGAAGTTCCTCTTATGTGTATACATGACAAGCACATTGCTTTCCTAAGATTCTTTATGTATCTAGGATTTATTTGGAAGAACTGTTCGAGTTCTCTCAGTCACTCTTTGAGGCCTCTGTTGTCTTCCCTCTCCCCATTAAATGGGAGATTTTTGAAAGGGAAGCTTTTGCTCTATTTTTTCTTTGCTGTATATTTCCAGCAGGCTATCTCTGCATTGCTATCTCTGTCCTCTATCATGACACAGTTAGATAACAATGGGCATTTTCTCTTTTCCAGGCAATAAGGCTAGTTATTACAGGGAAATGTCATAGTTTTTTTCTAATGCAATTTAAGCTTTGACCTTTTGGTTAGAGAAAGGAGAAAGACATTTGATGGTCTCTCTCTTCCTGGAGATAAGAGGCCATGTGGTGGGCAGAACCCTTGCTGTTTCTTGAGAGTTTCATTGGGGGTTCTGAGCTCATTAAACAGAATTGATCATTATTTCATTAAGATGAACATCTTTATTTGGCCCAAGTTGGAGTGTAAAGATCTGTTGTATAGGTCTGTTTCTCTGGTGCACACCTCATGTACTTAAAATATTTGTTGAATCAAATTAAACTTAACCTGTATTGTTTTATATGAGTGCTTACTGAAAAAACTGGATTGGCAGCTGCAGCCTGAGTTCTGAAGACCCATGTAGGAACAAAATTTGTGACATCGATTTACCTGGAATTTCTCTTTCACTCACAGCCTCTTTTTGGCCACTGTGCCTTACTTTTATTGTACAATGAAATTTTAGTCTCAGTATAGTCTTTACTTTGGTTGTATTTCTCATTATTTCTATTCTTATCGTTTTTAAAAATGATAAAATTAGTAAAATAATAAATAATAAAAATTAATTTAAAAAAGCTTACATCCTTTTGGGAAAGAAGAACTAGTAGTAATTACTTAATGGATAAGCTCTTCTCATCTGTTGAAGTTAAAAATTTCTCCCTGGTCTTCTAATCAAGTATTAAGACTGGTACACAAAAAGCTCTTGCTGAGTTTCATTAAATCCCCCATCTCTTAAGCAAGCATGCTCAGCAGGTGCTGGGAGAATGTAGTGCTGCAATCAGAAATTTGAGCAGTGTGAGGAGGCAGTGAAAGTATCCAGTTATATTTGTTGCCTGTGGTTGGGTTGAGACCAGGTCTCTGCCAAGGTTGATCTGTTGATTTCTTAGCTATCCCTGCCATCTTCTCTCTGAGTCTACAGCATCTTTAGCATCCCAGTTTCATGGACATTTATTAAGTGCTACCCATGCCAGGTACTATGCTAAGATTTTAGGGGACTATGAAGAACCATGTGTTATCAATGACCCAGAACCTCTGGGGCTGAGGTGGGGAGTGGGGTCAGACCCATTCACAAATAGTGGAAGTCAGATTGTTCTCATTCCTAGGATTGCAGTGCCAAGGGAAATAGGAGAATGGGGGGCATGAGAGACAAAGGACTTCTTTCCTTCATGAAAGAAGGCAGGATGGGGAGGTGGCTAAGCCCAGAAGCTTTGGGTCCAGCCACATGTAGGTAGGTCCATTCTCATGCCCATGTCTCATGCCATGACTGTTATCAGACCTCACCAAAGTGTCAGTTCCTCAGTGGATCTTCTGTCTGCCACTGTGCTTAGTTGTGAGGGTCTAAGTTAGTAGTTTGTGGCTTCTACTTAGCAGAGCACTGATCTGGAGTACTTGTTTAATAGGTGACCTTTTCATATGATGATCATGTCAGAGATTTTGGACCTGGACTTTGGGTTCATCTAGTTCCCTTTTAATGTTCTTTGAGACCCTGAGCTTGGGAAGGAACAAGGGGGAACTCCTCCCATCAAAGTCCTGAGAACTGGGCACAGAAGTATGGTACATACCAATTTGATGGTATCAGGAATGTTAACAACATACTCAATAAGTGGTATGATAATGTAATTTATAATGTAAATTATAGCTTTCTTTTATTCTTTGAGCAAAGAAATATACACACGCACATGTAACTGTTTACCAGGGGATACTTTTCATAGCAACATTATCATTATAATTTCTAACTTTTTGGTTGATTTTAGATCTTCAGTGTCCGGTACTGGCTCAATGATTACCATCTGAGCCAGGGTTTGATATAGGGAATGGCATCAGAACATTGCAGCAAGTTCCCCCTTAAATTGATTGTTATAAGGGTTCTGACAGTCACACCTGCTGAAGAGGTCTGTGTGTACTGTTGTATCATTAGGGCTGGGATGCATTTGGATGTTGGTGTTCCTGTGTTCTTTGGACCCTCAAAGCCTGAATCGCTGGCAGCACCTGCTCAGTGGCCTGTGCTTGCCAGTGCTAGAGGTGCTGGTAGGTGCAGCAAAAACCTAGATTCCCTTGGTCTGTTGAGTAGTTGCCAAACCTGTCCATGTCTAGGACCGCTGCTGTGTAATGTCATCAAGTGACTTGTAATTTTAATAGCTCAGACTACATGACGAGTAAGACCAAAGTATCGCGGTATTTCAAAAACCAGTGCCATTGAATCTGTGTAAGCCTGAATATTAGCTGTGCAAGTGACACATACTGTCCATACCAGACACCAGATAACTTCAACAGGGGAAGAGGAAACCAGAGAGCCAGGAAAATGTTCATCTCTGTCAAACATTTGTGATTCTGAAGTATCAAAAGTGAGTTAACTTGTGCTGTAGCGAAAGTTCCAGAAAGAGACTCTATCTTTTTGGTACATATTTCCAGTATGACTTTTGTCAGTCCTAAAAATGAACAGAAGGGCTGCATTTTTTTTTGTTTGTTTTTCTTTTTTGTCTGCTTATGCCTAATTTTCTGGAGAGAGCATTTTTTTTTTTCATGGCTTTATTCTTTCCATTCCTCAGAGCCACCTGGGAGCAATCGTTTATAGCATATTATTACAATGTACCATGCAGCTAAGGGTTTACAGAACTTTGTCTTGTATAATCCGCACCATCCCATGTGATATTCTATTAATGCTTCCATTTTACAGATAAGGAAATTCAGACGTTGATTAGTTACTTGTATTCTCCAGGCTACATATCTCTGTAATAGCAGAAGTTGAATCCAAACCAGTTCTGGCTGACTTAAAGCCCATAGTTTGTGATGGGCTTGCCCCAAGCCTAGCTGCTTCTTTGGCATAGGGAGTGTTGTTTTTTCACTTAATTCTATATTTTTTCTGTGAAGTTGTTATTTTCAGTTGCATTCTGTTGTTGGCAATCCGATAATTCATTTACATAAGAGCTCAATGTCTAAGAATCAAATTAAAACTCTTCATTGCTTTAGGAAATTGCACACTTCAAAATCACATTGACATATATGATCTAATTTGATATTTTTGATACCTTGAGACCTGTTCATTCAACATCATCAATAGGTTTCTGGAAACTGCAACCTTAGGTAAAATGACATATAATGAAAGTGGTGTCAGATTGTTTTTTTCTCATCAATATTATAACAAATGCTGTTGAATGAAATGACATTATTTGAGGACTTACTTTAGTTCTGATTTATAAAGGGAGAAGTGGACATTGAGAAGTAAACTATGCTTGAGGTCACACAGCTTTTATTTTTTTATTTTTGTGTAGAATAATGGGTATAGGCCAGAGGTTGGGGGTGTGTGTGAGTGGATTCACCAGAGGCAGAGTGGGGAGCAGAATGGGCAGATCCACTGAAATACACTGCTAAGGGGAGCAGCAGGCAAAACAGGAGAGGTCAGCTGTGCCATGTGTACATTAGCTCCCTGGCCTGTGTTCGAACTCAAGCCGTAGTGGTGATAGTGCTGAGACTTAATTCCTAGGCCACCAGGGAAGCCCTAAGGTCACACATTTTTAAGTGGAAAAATCAGGTCTCCATTCTAAGGTCTGTCTCCCCAAAGCTCATCCTCTTTTCTCTAAGTTTCCTGGACTAGGATATACACAGAATAAGATTTAAGCAGTCTGTGATTCTGGAAACCAAGGCAGTGGTCTTATCCATGATATGTCTAGTTATCCCCACATGTGATCTAGTCTCATAATTGCAGCAAAGCCAAGAGCTGAAAAAATCTGTAATAAACAAGGATGATGAAACCTTCTGTGGAGATAACCCTGGCTCCTTGACCCTTGCCAAGAGTTGTGGAGAAGGAGTAGCACGTCCTAGGTCAGGGGTTAATGATGCATCTTTGAAAGGACTTTTAATGTGGGGAATTTCTATCCTGCCATTGGCAACTTGGTGGAAGTCAACTTTGTGGCATTGTAACACTCCAGTAACCGCAGAGGAGAATGCCCTATTGGTGGAAAGGAACATGAATATCAACAGGTCATAATGCCAAAACTCGTTTTATCATTTATCCCTCACACAGGCTGATCCTGAACACTACAGAATAATAACTCACAAATGAATGACCAAGACTTTTCAGAAACGGGAAAGGTAATGCTGTCAAAGTGTCTCTATGGAAGCCCAGAGGACACCCTGCAGAAGACTGAGATTCCAAGAACTTTGATTTTTTTATGATTTTTAAATTTTTATGTTTGTTTTCATACATTGTTGTTCATTTATGGACAGTATTTGATTTCTCCCCTGAAGTGTAGTCCCCATAATTCTCCCATCACCATTGCACCTGTGACCCATCACCACAGTCCCTTGTGCTCTTCCCTCCTGTTTTAAATCCTCTTCCTCCCCCTTCCCTGCTGAATGGCAGGGGATCTATGGTCTGACTGCAAATTTTGTCTTTTTCTTGATCCTTTGTTTGGCTTCTCTATATTCCTCATATAAGTGAAACCTTCTGATATTTATCTTTTTTCCTTCTAACTTATTTTGCTTAGATTTTAAAATAACAAAATGTCAGAGAATAAGAATCTAGAGTGTTAGAGGCCCAGGCCTGGAATCTTCCTCTTTATGTACCCTCATGCTCTCAGTCTGACCCCCTCCCACCCTTTCCACCATCTGAGACCTTCAAATTCCCTAGGAACCATCAGTAATTTAGCAAATCTACATAGGGGGTGTTCTTCCACTGAGTACCACCTTAATTGAAACATTTAGAAAAGTTCAAAGGTGGCAAATTTTAGATTCCTAAGGATGTACGTTTTCCCAGCTGTCTAGAGCAGGGATTAGAAGGCTGTTAATACTTTATTTTTTAAAAAAGATTTATTTATTTATGCATACAAGAACTGGAGTACAGGCCAGAGGTGCAGGGATGGTGAGAGGATTCACCAGAGACAGAGCAGGGAGACATAACAGGCCGATTGACTGAAATACACTGCTGAGGGGAGCAGCGGGCAAGACAGGAGAGGTCTGCTGACTTGGGTGGGTCACCTGTGGGTCACCTCCCTGGCTGGGGATTGAACTTGTGCTGCAGTGGCTGCGGGCAGCTTCATAGGTTACGTCTTAACCCCTTGTGCCATCAGGGAGGCCCAGGATGCTGATACTTTAGAATCCATGTCACACTATTCATCTCACCATTGCCTGAAAGCAGCCTTGGACAATATGTAAATGAAATAATAGTCTGGCTCTATTTTAATAAACTTTACTTACAGATACTGAAATATGACCTTCACGTTGTTTTCACTTTATTAAACATTATTCTCCTTTTGACTTTTGCAATCATTAAAAAATGTAAAAGCTGTTCCTTTTTTCACAGACTGTACAAAATTAGGAAGCAGATTGGATGTGGTTTGTCGACTTGACCTACTGCAGTCTATTTTCTCTGCCTACCACTTTTTGACTGCATCATTTCCCTTTTGTTGTATCATTTTTTGGAAACTACTCTCCTCTTTATCTCAACTAGCTGAGGCTCAAATATCCTCTGGGAATCTGTGTTTCTGGCCCTCATGTAGCTTATTAAGGAGAACCAGAATGCCTACATAAAAGAAACATTGGGACAAATACAGAAAATGCCCTCTTTTTTTGTGTCCTGGCCAGTTGGATGTATAATTTGGATCTCTGAAGGTTATGGATGGACTCTGATAAGTGATTCAAGTTTCATTAGGATTCCAAGATTCCAGTGAACAGTGTGAAGCCTGAGAGACGATGAGAGTCTGCTTTTTTAGATAATCAAGGATATTTATATCATTTAATAGGCTCATACCTCCTGAGTTTTGTTCTAGCATGAAATTGAGAGTTGGAGAGAGGTCTGGATAATCAATTGGATGTCATCTCTTGGCATAGTAATAATATCAGATGTGTGATCAGCCAGAGGAATAACTGGGAATGAAAATGGGGAAATTTTAAACATTTTATGCTTCTCTATCTTCCTTCACTGCCTTCAAAATGAAAACACTATACAGATTTCTGTATGGGGTGTGTTTAAAAGAAAATAATGTGCCTATGTTATTGGGACACAGAATCTTAGAGAACAAACTCAGATTTGTAGCTTTACACCTAGTGTGTAGAGCTGCCCATTAGAACAGGTCTTGGCATTTTCTTCAGGGCCATGAACCAGTGGGGGTGATCGGGGCTTGGGCTGCCTACATATGTGATTGCTTGGCTGGCCTGACAGACACAGTGGTTTATGAGAGTGCTTGTTTCCCAGATATCTGCTGCTGAAAGCAATAAGTTGAAAGACATACATGTAGGAGGTAGAGAAGAGCAAGAGGTAGGAGTGCGGTGGTTTTGTATACAAGGCAGGTAAGTACCACCCTAATTACAGCTGCTAGGATTGTGAGCTGCTATGGAGCTGTTGTGTGTGATGCAGAGATAGTATAGGCTTTGGAATTGCACAGGTCTGAATTTGAATTTCTGACTCTACCCCTAGTCAGCTGACTAATGATCTTAGATGAATTGCTTCCATTATTTGAGCCCGCATTTCTTCATTTGTTAAATGAGGATAATAAGCACTCTTCCTACCTCCCACACTGTGAAATAAAAGTTCAAAGGAAGTTCCTAGGATAGGACTCCCTAAGTGATATGCTTGTTCATGTGTCCGTTTGTTCATGTGTCCATTCATTGGTTTATTCTCCATCATTGATTGTTCTTTGCAGTTTCTAATGGAGCTTTATTTTCAAGTAGGTGCCTCATGGTGACTTAGGCAGCAGTAGTCCATGTGATCAGGATGGATGGACATAACAGTCAATGTGTATTTACTGCTATATGTAGGAACATCTAAATGGTATGTAGGAAGTTAATAGTTATCTCAAGTTCATTGGCCACTGGCCAGTAAATACAAGATCCACCTCCTTATTTGTAATTGGGGAAATCAGTTTAAGACCAACATGAGTTATAGCTGCATGCTCACCAGTTTGGCCAAAAGAATAAAGTCTGACAACACTGAGGGTTAAAAGAATGTAGGATGAGGGAGTGCAGATGCACTGCATGACTAGTAAGAATTTAAACTGATATGTCTACTTTGGAAAATGATTTGTCAATATCTAGAAATTCAAAGCTGTGCATTTCCTACCTACCAAATTCCATTCCTTGATATAGCCTAGAGAGAATCTCCCATATGTAATCAAGCCAAAGCATTCATAATCACATTGTTAGGGGTAATAACCTTAGTGGCCACCAGTGAGTTAATGGGAATGCATACTTTAAGTGAGCTACAGTTATATGGGGTATTAGCATAGATGGATTTTAAACAATGGTGCAAACAGGAAGCCATTTATATATAGTTTGAAAGTATGGAAAATAATATTAATATATGGCTTATGGATAGTGATACGTACATAGGTAATAAAAGTTTAAAGAAATTATCTGTAATGATAAATATCAAATTCAGAATAACATTGGGAGAAGAAAGAAGGATATGTTTGGAAGGGTTTCTAGGATACAAATCTCTCCTCTGCCATTTACTCACTATCTATACACCCTCAGACAAGTCTCTTAGTCACTGTGCCTCTGTTTTCTGATCTGTAAAAGAGAATATTACCTATTTCATAGGTATGCTCTGAGGATAAAATGAATGAATATAGATACAATGCTTAGATTAATACCTAGCAGCCTTATAGTTGTTGGCATTTAGTTTTTATTACATGAATTTTTTTTATTATTTATTTAAAAAAAATCTTAAACATTGTAAATGTTTAATTCATAAATGTTTTAGTATTTATTCTAAAAGGTAAGGACTGTTTTTTGAATATAACTACTTGAAATTTAACAATTTCAAATACCTAATAAGGGTTTAAATTAAAATTACCCCATTCAGTGTCATTCATTTTTTAAACTTTGTTTGAATTAAATTCCAAATAAGGTCCACACATTGTGCTTAGTTGATTTGTCTTTTAAGACATTTTTTAAATCTATAGATAATTCTCCTCCAACTCTCCATTTCTTACAATTTATTTTTAAAAATTTTATTGAATATAATTGATATATAAATTATTGTACACATTTAATGTTTGCATCTTGATGAGTACTTATGTATGCACTCATGCTATTATCACCACAGCCAGGACACTAAATATGTACATCACCTCTAAAAGTGTCCTTGTGTTCTTTTGTGTTTTGTTTTACTTTTGGTAAGAACATTTAACATAAGTTTTATGCTCTTAACATATTTTAAAGCACAAAATAAGTATCGCAGCTTTTTAAAAAGAATAGATGTTGTTATTGACCTCTGGCACCACATACAGTTGAAAAATGAACCAAGACTTAAAATATAGGTATAAAAGTGTCAGAGTGGGACATATGAATATATAGGTCCAATCCATGGACTCCTGGCTATATCAGGCACTATGCAAATAGCTTTACTTGCATTCATTTAATTTTACCAGACATTATTTTAATCTTAATTTTACAGGCAATAAGAAAGAGGTTTAGAAAGACCGTGACCTCCCAAGGTCACCCAGTTGGGAGCAGCAAGACCGTTCCAGGGCCTCGGTTAGAATGATTCATGTTCTTGACTGCCAGGCTGTCTATAGCCTCCCTAGCCATTGTTTACATTAACCTGCTCTACTCTTTTCTCTATCAATCTTTATAAGTGCAGTTGTACTTTGGCAATGAACTTTCCCAAAATATTGGTGGCTTTGAATAATAAAGGATTATTCCTCATTCATGCTACACATTCATGAGAGGTCAGCTGGAAGCTCTGCCACACAACTATGTAATCCCAATTCAGGGGTCCTGGACAGAGCAGGGAAGATCTCAAACCTTGGTGGTTATTATGGGGTGGGGATGATGGGGGAGAGAGAAAAAAAGAGAGAGAAAGAGAGGGGCGGAGGGGATGAGGAAGCTTTGGGAAGGAGGGAGGGACTGAGACTCATGTCATAGGCTCACTACAGTGCTGGTTATCAACCAGGGTAATTTTGCTCACCAGATTTCTGGAGATATTTTTGGTTGTCACAACCTGTAGGGAGGGAAGGGATGCTACTGGTGTTATCTAGTGGCCATAGGAGGCCAGGATGTTGCTAAATACCCTACAATGCACAAGGTAACACCCCCATCCCTCCTGTGCAAAGAAGTATTTGGCGCTAATGTCAGTAGTGCTGAGGCTGAGAAATATAATTTTATGAGCTGTAAGGGAGGAGAACCTGAAATATTTGACAAGTAACACTAAGGACCACCTTGCATCCTCATGCCCATAAGCTATGATGAAGGTGCTTCACGAGATATTTTCCATCATGAGGGTAAACTGTGGTTTGAGGATAGGCATGGGATGGGCCTTTCAGACAGCAGACTCCATGGAAGGCAAAGGAGGCCTAGGCTGACTGCTGCTCTTCCTCAACAGTTTCTCTGAAGACTGTTGGAAAGAAGTATAACGCAGGCCACATGTACAATTTGAAATTTCCTAATATCCACATTAAAAAAGGAATAGGTGAAATGAATTTAATAGTGTAAGCTGTTCAATTCTACAGATCAATTCAATTTTAATGTTCCTTTTTTTCTCACTCTTTGAAATTTGGTGTGTCTTTTATAACTGCAGCACATCTTAAGTTCCACTCACCCCATTTCAAGTGTTCAGCTGGCACATATGGCCAGTGGCTACAGTGTTGGAAACTGAAGGTTTCTGTTACTGATACTCAGTGAGGGCTTTGCCTTGGTCTCTGAGGACCAGCAGCACTGCCGTGACCCAGAGTCAGTAAGTTTGAGAGTAGGATGTAAACTTGAGGAATATTGATCCTGGACTCCCAAAGAGAGAACACTGTCAGTCTATGTATGGTTTTCCTTGTAGGCTGTACTAGCGCCCCCTTTTCTGTTTTTCATTGGCAGGTGCCTCATCTCCAGACATGGAGCCGAGCTATGGAGGAGGTCTCTTTGACATGGTGAAAGGAGGTGCAGGGAGGCTCTTTAGTAACCTCAAGGACAACTTGAAAGACACCCTCAAAGACACATCTTCTAGAGTTATACAATCTGTTACCAGGTATGTATGTTCTTTACAGTTAATGGAAGTCTGTCCTCCCAGATACCTGGTTACCTACCAACTGCTTGTCTGCCTCAAAGACTTTTGGTTTTGTGCTGTAATTGCATGGGATGGAATTGACTGAGGAATGTCACCAAAGCCATAAGTCAAGTCCTTCAGAAACGATAAACACAAGCTGGGAGGACTCGGCTCACTGGGATATTAGAGGATAAGGTTGCACTTTTAAGAATCCGGCATCCTGGGTTCCAGTGCAGTATCTGTCCTTATTAGCCATGTGACCTAAGCCAGTGAATGAACCTCTTTAAGTCTTACATTATGCTCTGGTAAGACTTGTATCTTTGGGTAGTTTGAGAATTACATAAAAAAAAAATGTATATGCCATCTTAACAAGTCATACTTGTGAATTGTAACCAAAGAAGAGTTTTGGTTTTGTGTCTCAGTGACCCTTTAAAATTCATTTGGTGGGAGAGTCTTCTGTACTTTCACTGTATGAAAATTCTTTCAAAGCAGGCCAAATGGATTATTTTTATTCTTAGGTATTAGAAAGCTTAGGGTTATCTTAACAATGCAAAGTTTTGAATGAGAAATTCAAAAGTCAAGTCCAATATATATGAATCAACACTGTAATCTCTGTTCAAAGGTAAAATGTACCCCTTACCTCCAGTTCCCAGCTAGGGGAGATAAAGGGCTTCCTTTGTTCTTTCTGTGTCACTTTTCCTTACCCCCAATATTTTCATGCAAAGAGACTTAGGCAATCAGTGTTAATAATAGGCAGCGTTTTCTATCCTGATATTGATTGTGCTCATGAAGTAGCATCTGTGAAAGGTATTGGAATGCACCTGTTGGAATAGCGGATTTGTGTTCTGGAGATCTGGGCTGTCTTACCTCCTTGTTAGAGAGAAGGGCTTGAGGGAGGCCAAAATATGCCTGCTGGGTGGAAGTTTCCCAGGTCATGATGGGAAAGGGATTGAAAGAGAGAAACCTTGGCATATTTGGATCATTTTAATGAATGCTGTTTCCTGTCTTGCCTTTAGCTACACCAAGGGAGATTTAGATTTCACTTATGTTACCTCCAGAATTATTGGTAAGTTTCTCATGTTATTAACTGCACCATAGATCACTTTTCAGTTGCTGCTCATCCTGACAGCAGAATGGTCTAACCTTTTTTTTTTCTGCGTCACTCCTCCTAGTGATGTCCTTTCCTCTGGACAGTGTTGACATAGGATTCAGGAATCAGGTTGATGACATTCGAAGCTTTTTGGATTCCCGACATCTTGACCACTACACGGTGTACAATCTGTCACCAAAGTCTTACCGAACTGCCAAGTTTCACAGCAGGGTAAGGAATTTTGGTTCTGAAATGCTGAAGGACTCCATTCTGTATTTCAATTAGCTTTTATGTGTGGATGCCACATGGATTGACAAGTATCATTCAAAACAATCAAATAACAGTTTTCTTAGTATTTGCATATGTAACAACATTTAAAATAGGATTGAGTATTTAGTCTCAGTTTTATCAACTCATCCAACTCAAAATAACACTTGGCAGATAACACTGCATGGAGAGTGAGGTATTAGAAGTACAATTTTAAAAATTGTAGGTACAATTTTAAAAATTATAGAGGAAGTATTGAATGACAGTTTTTATTTACTCTTCTTAGCTAGTATCTACCTTGAGGAAATTAAAAATGTGGCAATGTTTACAATAAAGTCTTGGAGACTTTAGAGGCATCATTTAAACCAGTGGTTCTTAATCTGAGTTAAGACGACTCAGGTCTGCTTTTTGTTAGATACATGGACAGGCTTTAGAGAGTTTAACCATGTCCTTCCACTCCTTTTTGTTTTAATTGTGATAAAATATGCATAACAAACAATTCATTTCAGCCAGTAGTAAGTATACCAGTTAGCACCATTAAATAGATCACACTGTTGTGTGGACTTCAACCCTGTCTGTGCTTTTTTCATCATCCCCCAAATAAACACTGCACCCATCCACTGTGTGAGTGTGTATAAATATAAATATGTGTATGCTGGCTCAAGTTCTGCATAGAAGGATAATGGCTGTGCCCCAGACTGTCAGGAACCACTGTTTTGCACATTTCTTGGTATTGTTATTAGGGATAAATAGAAAATTGGATGAATGGCCAACAATCTAACCTGGACCTGAAGTTCTTATATTCAGATTATGCTATTCCAGTGCTACTTTGAGTTTCCTTGTCGCTTTGCGGCACCAGGAGGGCAAGTATGCTGGCAGCCCAGTCTGTAGCCTGGGAAAAATCAACCCAGCTGGTTCTTTTAGAATCTTTCTCCATTTAACTCTTTCTAAACTACGTGATCTTGTAGGATTTCTTCCTCTTTGGAAACATCTTGGACTTCTTAGAGGACTTATAATTATTTGAAAGTCAAACTCTTGCCTTCCCCGCATCTTTTCCTTCCAGCGGTCACCAGAGGGGTCACCATTGCTCTTAGTTGGTTTTGTTTTTGGTTCGCTGGTGGGGAGTGGTTATAGAGTAGTCACTTTACAGCTTATACTTCATCTTTCCCTCTGCCACCAAACATCAGTGTATTAGGGCAGGAAATAATGGAGTAGGAAAAAAAATCCTTGTCCTGGGAGCCAGAGAACCAGGGAGCTCCAAATTCCAGTTCTGTAACCTTCAGGGAATTGGATGCCTTAATATTGGCAAAATATTGTCATCACATGAAGTCATAAACACGCCACAATTGTAAGATGAAATTGTAGTCATAGTCAATTGTTAAACAGTACTATATAATAGGAAGTAGACACATTTTATTATTTCTTAAAATTGAGGTAAAGCTCATCTTATCTGCACAAATTTGAAACTCTAAAAATTACCATGAGTTCACATTTCAGCTCTTCCTCTTCCTGGGTAAGTGACTTCACTTCATTGGAGACTGAATTTTTTCCCTGTATAAAGTGGGAATGACAATAAGAATAAGTTATAAATACCTAGATTTTTTTCCTGTAGATTTGCTGTAAGGAATAAGTTTGATAGCAGTGTCTGGCTTAATCTAAGCATTCAGTAAATGGTAGCTAATTCTAACATTGGTAATACTATAATACCATAATAAATGGTTGGCTGAAATACCCCTGACCTTCAAAAACAGTGCCAGAGTCTTAAAGCACTGATATGACTCTTCAGTGATTCTCCATAGCATCCTTTGATCTTAGTTTAGTAAGTGTGATGCTTATGCCATTTTATCACAGGCTTGTGCAATGGAAAGATGAGAAATGAGTGGCTTCTAGCTTGGGTGCTGTTTTGGCCTCTTCCCACTGGGTGGTACAGGGTAGCTTGTGATGCACAGGGCTTCTCTGGCACTCAGCAGCTCTGGTTGGTACTCACGGAGACTGGAGACAGCATTGTGAAGCATCAGATGCTCAAGGATAGCATCTGATTGCATGAAGCTGTGAACCCCAGAGAGCTCCAAAAATAGTATGCAGTGATCTAATTCCTTAAAAAAATGTTTTGTTTGATTTTGTTTATGCCTTAATGTTTTTGCCCCTTTAGACGAAGGCATACACTTTTATAAAATTCTAATTGTATGTTTGCTTAATGGTGTATAATTATATATCAAGTAAATATGTAATTATGGCATACTTTAAATTAATATTATTTACGTGATTGATTTAATGATTCCAGAGCTGTTAACCTATTGTGCTAAGAACAATTTAGCCAACTTTTAGCTGAGATTCATTACAAATATTGACATTTAGTGTTTGTATGAGTGACATACAGTTTCCAAAAGGTTTATAAATACCATGTGGGAAAACACGTTTTCTATTCTTTTACATTGTTGCAATTAAAAAAATTAGTAAAATTGATTTACATGTCCCTTTCTCAAGATATTGTACATGTAGACAAATCTTATAAGAAGTGATTGCCACATGGTGGGTTCATTCCTTCATTCTTTCTCTCATTCATTTACTCAGCAAATCCCACTGTGCACCTGTCATTTGATTAGAGTGTGCACACTGGCTTTGAACACAAAAGTGAGTGATGGTCTTTCTCCTGGAACTAAGTGTCTGGAGAGGGTGACAGATATGAACAGTTACCTTGAGTAAAGCTTGACAATAAACAAGCCACAAAGCTTATGCAAGTCTAAACTTATGTTTTATTAGTTAACTTAATAAATTTCTAATCAATGAAAGCTCATGCCTACTATTTTGTGGCAAATGATGATCTCAACCAGCCTATTGTAGTGGCCCCATTTGTATTCTGAAGAAAGAGGTTGCAGTGCTAGTACTCACCACCAGTATGACTTTAGACAAGACAACCTCTGACATTCAGTTTTTTCATCTGCAAAGTGGGGATCATATTTTTAACCTGTCTTATTTAAGTGTTGTACAGACTAGAACCAAGCAGAATTCCAGGAATATATGATGCTCCATAGTGTGTTAATTGAACATGTATTCAATGACTGAAAATGCTGATGGCTGTCTCTTTGGAGACATAAATAAGAGCCACAGTCCATATACCTTTGGCTCCTTAGACAACACTTTTCATGTTGTCATAAGAACAGGATAAAATTAGGGATCATGCAGGTATTATGTGATAATCCTATAATTAAGTATCTCATGGGCAGGTCTAAACTAAACATTTTATTTTTTTATTTTTTATTTTTTTAAAGATTTACTTATTTATACAAGCACTGGGTACAGTCAGAAGCATGGGAGGATGAGAGAATTCACCAGAGCCAGAATGGGGAACAGAACAGACAGACTGACGAAATACACTGCTGAGGGGAGCAGCGGGCGAGCCAGGAGAGGTCTGCGTGCCATGTGGGTCCCTCGCCGGCACCCGGGGATCGAACCGGTGCTGCAGAGGCTGTGGGCAGCTTCGCAGCCCAGCGCTCAACCCCTGTGCCACCAGGGGAGGCCCTCTAAACATTTTATACTTAATAGAAATTGATTTCAGTATAACTTCACATTATAAAAAAATCCAAATATGTAGTTTAAGTGATCTGGTTGAATTTAAAATGTATTTCAAGATGTGTCTTTATAGCTTTACTGGAAAGGATTCTCTCTAATTGAAAATATCACTGCATTCAGCAACTCTTTCTGTATGTGGACTCTTGCTGGCTTCAGAGGGTTTGTTAAATGAGGATATGCTATCACTTCCAGAAGTTGTTTGGTATGACACTTGCTTATGGAAAGGAAGTCAGGAGGGGAATTCACATCCTTTGCTGTGTTCCCTCAGGTCTCAGAATGCAGTTGGCCCATCAGACAGGCCCCCAGTCTGCACAACCTCTTTGCTGTGTGTCGGAATATGTATAACTGGCTACTGCAGAATCCCAAAAATGTTTGTGTTGTCCACTGCTTGGTGAGTAGTAACCTTTTTTGTTGTTGCTTTTTGTGGTAACAGGTAACATTCAAGTTGAATAACACTTTATTGAGCCCCCACCTAGGAATTAGGTGAGGTGAGGGAAGAATGTAAATGAGGGAGGAATATACTGTTCTTACTTTTTGACTATTACTATTGGAAGAAGCAGGTATGTGCACAACCCATTAATACAGGGTCTTTCCAATGTGTGAAGTATTATAAAAGAGGTTGAAAACAGAACTGTGGGTGACAGGCAAAAATGCCATTGAGTTTCATGTGAATAAAATCAACAAAAATATATTGGAGTATTTTTTCTTACATTTAGTATTTGAATAAAGATGTGATACTAAGATATCTATGCCCTTGTATCACATACATTCACTGTATTTGACAGTTATTCCCAGTGAATTGATTTTTCTTAGACTTCTTAGAATCCCTTTCCTCAATCCTTCCTTTGGAGGCCTCTTGCCTATCATTTAAATCTCAACTTTCAGTACAATTTTTCTGACTCATGAATATTTTCACACTATGAACATTCTACCTATAGATCTAAATGTCCTCCATGGCATTTAATATGTGGCAACATAACCGGCTGACCTGCCTGTTTTCCCACTAGGCTATATGAACATCTCGTGGGCAAGAACTTTATCTTCCTTACTTTTGTGCCCCAGGTATGGAAGGTTTGAGTAAGTGATAGGACACTTGCACAGATGAAAATACAAGTGAAATTGTAGCAAAATTATTGGCACTATACATTGCTTCTGTTAACTTCAGGGTGATTTGTTTTTATTTTTACTTGATTTCCCCCCTCCTTTTTAAGAGTAGTTGGCTAAAAGAGGGAGGAAAGCCACAAAGAACAAATTTTCTTCTTTCTACTTCACATCCCCAAACTCTCGACAATAAAGGAACACTTGGTGTTCATAGGAATTCAGTGTTTAGGACCAAAGGGTTTTCCTTTTGGAGGAAAAACAGATTGTGCAACAGGTTACTTTTGGGGACTAAGCAACCTTTAGGTGCTTTGGTGATTTTCTCTTCCCTCAAGAACTTTCTAAAAGTGCAGAGAGCCTATGTCGGATAACTTTGTAAGGGAAGTTGACTTGAGAGAACAGAGTCTCCCGGTTCTCATGATACAGTCAAAAAGAATAAAAACCCAGTGAAGAAGAAGAGGCAGACTATTCTCTAGGCTTAATGCAAAAGGACCTGCATAGCTGGGAATCTGCGCCAAGACTTTGGAAAATGATATGAAAGCTGGAGGTGGGAGCTTTATTTGTATTCTATATACTGCTGTTTTATTGAAAATAATAAGCATGTGCTATCTTTTGATTAAAAGTGAAACTTAAAAAAATACTTGCATGACAGATAAAAGGAAGAGACATATGTACCTAATTCTAAATAGAATTAAGATTGAGAAAAATGTCTTAAAAAAAAAACTATCCTTGCAATAAGGAAAACAAATTCTTTAGGCATATGGTATAATTTTAACTTCTTTATTCTTTTTCCTTTATCAGAGGAAATGAATGTCAAGAAAGAAAGAGGCTAACAATGATAGTTAAGACAAAGCTGATAAGTAGTAAGATCATAAAAGAGCCTCACAGCGCTAGAGTTATGTGTCAAAATGCTGAAAGCATTTAGAAAAGCAATTATGAATTGATTCCTTATGAAATATGGGAAACAGGAAAAAGAGGTGCCAGTCAAGTGAAGAGAGACTTTTTCCCCCAAAATTGACAAAGGAGATTGATCCTGGAATGCTCTATTCTGGTGAGCCTTTTGGGGGAATAAATCAAGCCAAATTCTGATATAAATATTTGCACCGATGATTTTAAACTCTTAGGAAAGAGGAATCCACATTGGTTCATTATGAACATACATATCAAATCAACTGAACCTTTTGTAGCAATACTAATAAATTAAAGACAGGTTTATTGGATTCTTGCAAGATATTTGTTTTTATAATCAATATGGAGAAATTTGAACTAGATTGTTATAGGCTTATTTGAATTGTTACTAAGTATCTTCTTTTAAAGTTAGCTGATTAATAGATCAGCATCCTCTCAGAAGTTTCTGTTTGGTTGGCCTTTTGATGAACTACTCTGTAAAGATGTGGAGATCAAGCTTATCAATTATTCAGAACTAAAAGGATAATATGAACCTGCATTTAAAAAGGTTTTTTGTGTTGGTTGGTTATTTAGCAGAAACTAACAGTGTGAAATTAAACACAGCATAAAAGTAAATGGATTCTGGTTCTAAAAGATAAAATATATTTTTCTGTTAGCTTAACATATCATCTGAAAAAGAATTAAGTGTTTTAGTGGATACAAAAATCAATAAAGGCTATGGTGTCACTTAGCTTGTATTTGAGCTAATTTGGCCTGGAATTATGTCAATAAAGGCATAGTGTCCACACTAAGGAAGATGATACTTCCTCTCTAGTTTGGACAGAATGATCTCTTACCTTGCATTTCACATCTGGGCAGCACATTTAAACTTGCTTTAAAGTTGGAGTCTATTCAGAGGAAGTATACTGTGTTTGGTTTCTGGACCCAATTCTGAAGAGGCTGTGTGTGGAGTCTTCCCCACATCAACAAGCAATTCTTAGATACCAGCAGGGTATCCAAAATTTCAGCTCAATTCTGATAATATCTACCTAGAGATGGCATCAGTTTCCACAGGTAAAGGGCTTGGTCTCCAAGACATCCCTTTACTGCAGACTAAATTGCTACTTGGATTCTAAACGACTGGCTACAGACTGGAGGTTCCCAGAACCCCTCCTCAGACTTCAGATGCTCTTCTCAAGCCCACATTATTATCTGTGCTTCTGACCAACCAGCTATGAATCAGAAGTTTCCAGGGTACCCTTTTTATGTTCCATTAATTTGTTAGAGCAGCACACAGAACTCAAGAAAGCCATCTACTAAATAGATCACTGATTTATTTCAAAAGCTATAACTCAAGAACAGTCCGATGGAAAAGATGCATAGAACAAGTTGTGGGGAAATGGTGTAGACTTTCCATGCCCTTTCCAGGCATGCCATTCTCCCCCACATCTTCATTTGTTCACTAACTGGAAGCTCTTTCTTTTGACTTTTATGGAGGCTTCATTATTTAGGCATGATTGATTAACTCATTGGCCATTGATAATTGAATTAAACCTTTAGTCCCTTTCCCCTGCCCAGCAGTCTAGACGTAGGGATAGAACTGAAAGTTCCAGTCCTGTAATCACAGCATTCTCGAATATTTTCCAGAAGTTGCCTTCATTAAATAACAAGAGACAGTTTCGACATTCTCAACACTTAGGAATTTCCAAGACTTTTTGGGTTGTTGTGAGCCAGGAACTGTGGATGAAGACCAAATATATGTTTCTTATAAATCACTATGTCATATATACCAACAATGATGTCTTTTAAAATGGAATACCAAATGAAGAAGCATTGAAGGGAATATGTATTAGGGTTCTCCAGAGGAACAGAACCAATAGTATATTAAGAGAAGTATATATAAGAGATTTTTTATAGGAGTTAGTTCACATGCTTATGAAGGCCAAGAAGTTGCACCATATGCCCTCTGAATTTGGAGATCCAGGAGAGCCAGTGGCATTATTCAGTTTGAGTTCAAAGGGCTGAGAACCACGGGGACAGTAGTGTAAGTCCTGGAGTTCTAAGGTCCAAGAACCAGGACCTCTAATATCCAAGGGCAGGAGAAGATGGATAACACAGCTCAGGAAGAGAGAGTGAGTTTACCCTTCCTTCCTTCACTTTTTTTCTATTTAAGCTATTTGTTCTATATGGGCCCTTAATGAATCTGATGATGTCTGCCCATTTGAGGATCATTACTCAGTCTGCTACTTCAAATGATGGTCTTTTCCAGAAACACCCTCACAGATACACCAAGAAATAATATTTTACAAGCTGTCTGGGTGTTTTATAGACCAATCAAGTTGACACAAAATAGTGCTTATCACAGACTGAGTATGTTTTTAACCTGTACAATTAAATTGATGGTAAAATGTGGTATTTCAGATATGTGAAGGGCCTTCTGGAGAGGAAACAATAGGTATACTCTTGGTCCTCACAAAAGGAAAAATGAGAATCGTTGAGCAGAATAGATTCCAACTCAATGTATTCCATGTAAGGAAGAGCTTTGTAATCAGACTGGACTGCATTAAGTTAAGCTCCCTGTCACTTAAAACATTCAAAAAAGACTGGACACCATCTGTGGGCATGTTATTGCATGTTTCCCTCCATTGAAGGAAGTTGAGTCAGGAGAAACTTCTCAATTTCATATAATAAAAATGAATATACTTTGGGTGAAGTATTTTATAACATATTTCTAAAAGCAGTACTTGTCTGGGAACTCTTTACATCTGGCCCTAACCCTAGAGACCTCAATGGTTTTGACCCTACAAGTCAAAAGTTGCTTTGAAGGTTAGATTATTTTTCAGTAGCTATATGCATTAGTACATTTATATTGCTGGGTTTCTAGGGTTAGAAGAGAGTTAGTTTAATGCTAAAAATAAGCCTTCCCTTGCTGATTTGTGATTTAAATAGCCGGGACAGATTTTGGTTTTCAAGTAATTAATTTTGATGTGGAAGTTACCCTGGCTGTATTTTCTTTGGCAGGATGGACGGGCAGCATCGTCAATTCTGGTTGGTGCTATGTTCATTTTCTGTAATCTCTACTCTACTCCTGGCCCAGCTGTTCGGTTACTATATGCAAAGCGACCAGGAATTGGACTGTCACCATCCCACAGGAGGTAAAGTAAGCTAGCTTACGGGGCCTAACTGGTTCCATAGACTTAAAAAAGAGAAGTCTTTTTAGATATTTGACTTATTTTCTCTTTAGTCACAGTTTCTTCCTTTCTCTTATTTAAATTCTATGTCTTTACTTTTTTGCATTAAAAGTACTGCTAATGATAAATTTTGAGATTTTCCCAAAGTCACCCCTTAGCTGATAAATTTAATGTGCAGTGTCAAATGGGAATAGATGTTCAAATTTTGAGCTAGTATAAAGCTCTCATAAGCTTTTTCAAATGATAAATAGCCCTTTGTCAGTCCTGTGGGGAAAGTATAGCAGTGCCATGAGATGAAAGATCTCTAAATTATGGGCTGGATTTTCTTTTGCTAGTTGATGTTTAAGAAATTAATATGGCACATTTTTATTATAATTTAACAGTTTACAAAAACAAACTTCATGGCAAAAATTGACTGCTTCATTCTTCAGTGTTGAGGGTATTGACCAAATAGTGACCTTCTATTTCAGATACCTGGGCTATATGTGTGACTTACTAGCGGACAAACCCTATCGCCCTCACTTCAAGCCTCTCACGATTAAGTCGATCACTGTTAGTCCGATCCCCTTTTTTAACAAACAGAGAAATGGATGTCGCCCTTACTGTGATGTATTGATTGGAGAAACCAAAATATATACAACATGCGCAGATTTTGAGCGAATGAAGTAAGTCATACTTTTCTTAATTTCTTTTGAACTGTTGAATTCTTGTGTAAGTGGATCATATTTTTCCTGTGTAGACTACACCATGGTGAAATGTCTGACATGAAAGTGTTCAATTTAGTGATAATCATAGAAAAGCACAAGTAAATCGAGGGGTGCCATGGTGACGCAAACTAAGGGAGTAACATGAGCTAGAATGAGGGTTTAGACAGTGTTGGGTGGCGGAGGACCCATTTCCTTTTTACGTGTCCTTGATAGGTGCACTGGGTACAGTCAGAAGGATAATGCAGAAACCGAAGTACACTGCTAGCAGCGGCAGGAGATGCGCGCCATGTTTTCTGCGCCGCAGAGCGGCAGCTTCGCAACCCAGCGGCTGGGAACGTGTCCTTGATAGGGTGTAGTGAGGATAATGGAAGGATAAGGGATGAATGAGTTTTCTGGGTGAGCCACTAGGTAAATGATGTGATGTGGTTAATAAAACCACAGAATTTGTAACAAAGAGCAGGTGCCAGTGGGAGGTGATAAGGGGTCTGGAGAGAAGGGAATGGATGATAACATGAAGTGAAATTTTTAGTGTGGAATAGATTGCATTTGAAAGTTGGTATCCAAGACCCTCAAAGTGCATGGCATTGCTGTTTTTATACTAATCTTGGTTGAACCTTTTTGTTCTGTCTCTGCTTTTAATTTTAAGTTTAAAAAATGGGCCTCCCTGGTGGCACAAGGGGTTAAGCTCAGCACTATGAAGCTATCCGCAGCCTCAGCAGCACGAGTTCGATCCCCGGCCCTCCAGGGAGATACCCACATGGCACAGTAGACCTCTCCTGCTCTCCTGCAGCTCCCCTCAGCAGTGTTTTCATTAATCCTCCTGTTCTGTTACCCACTCTGTCTCTGGTGAATCCTCTCACCCTCCTGCACCTCTGACCTGTACTCCAGTTCTTGTATGCATAAATAAGTAAATCTTTAAAAAAATAAAGTTTACAAAAGGCAAATATATCAGGGCTAATAAATTTAAGAAAATGAGATCTTCAAAGTAGGGATGGACACTTGATTCATCTGGAAGTTCAGATGGAATGGAGAGAGAGCCTGGTATTAGACCGACCCATTGTCAGAAATTGTTTTCGCCCAATTGGCATTGGTTGTGCTCCTGACTTTGCTCAAAAAAGGCAATGGTCCTAGATTCAGGCCTGGTAAACAGGTCCCTAGGCTAGAGCCATTGAGGACTATACCAGTGTGAATGCAGAGATTGGTATAACGTCAGTGTCTGCTTTTGTCTTTGTTTAAAGAGAATACCGTGTCCAAGATGGAAAAATCTTCATTCCTTTGAACATCACTGTGCAAGGAGATGTGGTTGTTTCCATGTATCACTTGCGGTCAACCATTGGGAGCCGGCTACAGGCTAAGGTATGGCTTTAGAAAGAATCATAGCTTAACCTCCTCTGAGCTTTTAATATAAGGAGTATGTCAGAGTCTTCTCTCTGAATCACTTTGGGCTGAATGACTTGTGGTTTTGATTGGAAATCGCCTTTAAAGATTACATCTGCCCATCTCCCTCATTCACAGGGGAGGAAATTAAGACTCGGAAGTTGTGGCTTGCCCAAAGTCCTTGGCATGTTTACTTTGCCAGAAGATACCTCTAGAACTTCTAGCAAACCTTGCTCTTTTGAAGCTTGTGCCTCTTTTTTAGTGTCCCACTTAGATTGTCAGGGGAGATATTTCTATTAAGAATGTGGGATCAAGTAATTATATTTTTTTCAATTTTTTTACTGTGGATAAAATTCACAAAACATGAAAAATCACCCCTTTAAAAAGTGTACAATGCAGTGTTTTTTAGTATTTCCAAAATGTTGTGCAACTATCACCACTAATTTTCGAACATTTTTATCACCCCTAAAAGAAACCCTGTCCCTATTAACAGTCACTGCTCACTCTCCCCCTCCCATCCCCTTGGCAACCACACATCTACTTTGTCTCTATGGAATTACCCAGATTGGAAATTTTAAATGATTGGAGTCATACAATATTTGGTTACTTACAATTGTCTTACTTCACTTAGTATAATGTTTTCATGGTTCATTCATATTATTGTTGATACTGGTACATCATTCCTTTTTATAGCTAAATAGTTTTTTATTATATTACTGTACTACCTTTTATGAACCTCTTCATCAGTTGGAGATTGGGGTTATTGACACGCTTTGGATATTATGAATATTGCTAGTATAATTATATTTTCATTCATCAAATATTTGCTTAGTGCATGCTCTGTACCAGTCATTTCTTAGGTGTTTAAGATTGACAAGAATAAGACTGTGTGCTTGCCTCCAAGAAGTCCAGTCTAGCAGAGGAACTTCACACATGTACAAATATTCACTACCCTATTAGAGGCAGGAAAAGGTGCTATAAAGACGAACAGTTTGTTTCAGCCAGAGGTGGCCCAAAAAGGTTACTGAAAAGATGCTGCCTTTCAAGGCAGAATTTGAAGGATGAGTTTATCAGGTTGGAGCAGGGCCATCCTGGATAGAAGGAAGTGGCGTAAGTCAAAGTATCGCAGTGTGCAAGAACATGGGACATTAGCAGATGAGCAAATGCCTTGCCAATGTAGAGTTCATGGAGAGGCTAGATATGAAACTGGGTCAGTTCCAGATGGGAAAGTCATTCAGTGTCATAGCAAACAGAAACACAGATGTAGAAACAGTTGAAGATGTGTGGCTCCCCAAATAGAACCTTTTGAGCAGACTCCCTTTTCACTCACTGGCTGTAATGTGCTTCTCTTTTGTATTTTTAGGTGACCAACACTCAGATATTCCAGCTTCAATTTCATACTGGATTTATACCACTGGAGACAACAGTTTTAAAGTTCACCAAGTGAGTGCTTCTTGGGCCAGAAACCCTTTTAATGCAAGCAGCTGTGCAATGCAGGGACTCAAGTACCTCCAGCTCCTTCCTGCTGTAATGCAGCAGCCCCCAGAAACTCGGTGCTGAGGGACTGTTGAGTGTAGTTTAGCAATACGCAGAGGCTGGTTCATCTTACAGCTTTTGGTAGGGTATGATTTGTAATAAACTAAAGTGAATGAAGGAAGTCAAAATTTCTATAAGTGAACCAGAGGGAAGAAAGTATCAAAACTGATTCTTTGCATCTGTGCTACCCTTTATACCAGGGATGATGGGGTAATCAGTAGTTTGGTGTGAGCGCTGACCATCATAATGCATGCCAGGCCGTAACCGTGATAGAGTCCTGGGGAACCCCTATATAATAGCTATTGATCCTTACTGGCTACATTATAATGTAGTCTAAGGAACTCAAACAGGTGGTTGAAGTTGAGTAGTTGCTGAAGCAGGAATTGCTGAAGTCAGGATAGGGGTGAGATTCAAAGGCTCAGAATGGTGACTGTGGACTATCTTGCTATTTTGACCACTGATTTGGGCCATGCTGGTGCACACTGGCTGCATGCGGGGGACCTGCTTTCCAGAATGCTTCCCATGCAGTCATATCCAAATTCTTTGACTAGGCATTCTTCTCATTTTTTCAGAGGAGGAAACAATTCAAAGTAACTTACCTGGTTAACTATTGATTTTTTCTCCCTAGAAGAGTCTCAGAGTTAATTTAAAAGTCAATCTACAATGGTTTCTGTCCTGAACATCATAGTGATTCCATTTTCACTGATCTTATTCTTCTAAATTCTGATTTAGGCCAGAGCTGGATGCATGTGATGTACCAGAAAAATATCCTCAGCTATTTCAGGTCACTCTGGATGTAGAACTACAGCCTCATGATAAAGTCATAGACTTGACCCCACCCTGGGAACACTACTGCACAAAAGATGTTAATCCCAGCATCCTCTTCTCTTCTCACCAGGAGCATCAGGATACTTTGGCCTTAGGAGGTATGAGTCACCTGGTTTTGTGTTCAGGATGAAACTGTGTTATTTGCCACATTGACTTCCTGTGTTGCATTGATACTGCGTGGCCTGTTGTCTTGCAGGACAGGCTCCAATAGATGTTCCTCCAGACAACCCCAGGCACTTCGGGCAAGGTGGCTTCTTTTCCTCTCTCTGTTGGCAAGGTACTTCTAAGCATTTCTTTAAATCATATAGTTCCGTGATTAAGGTACATGGTTCTTCTATAAAGATGATTAGTCCTTGAAGCGGACTAAAGTAATCCAGGGTCCCCCTATTCCATAGTCTCCCCATTCATTCCTTTTTCAAATCAGGGAACTTGAATTTCCTACGCTACTTTCAACTCCATGGATGCTCTTAGAGTGATACTAAAAACATCTTAAGCTGACTTCTTCCTTTACTGGCCATGCTATGCTTTGGATCAAATCTTTCCTGGATTTATGAATAAGCCTGCTATTTCCCCAGGTCTCCCTTTACTCTGTTGATACACAAAGACATTAACAAAGGACTCTGTCTCTTGTCCTCAACTAAATATTCTACAAATATGAAGTTTGGCATTTCTCCTAGGGGCTTTATTCATTAGCAGGTCAGGGTGAGCTTCACCTGCTACAGGGAAGACAAACACTTCGCTCAGATATCTCTGCTACTTGATTTTACAATCAAAGCAGAAAGCAAACTGTATCCTTTTGTGTTGAATATGGAGATGTTTTTCAGAATCTTTCTTAGTGTACCGTGTCTGGCTGCTACCATCAGCAGACAGGCAGTGGCATTTTAAAGAATCCCTATTTACCATCTTTGGAGGTTAACTGAGAGGGTCAGTGTAGAAATGAATAATAAAGAGCTTCTCTAAGGAAGGGGAAAGACTGGCTTTGGCAATGGTCTACTTGAAATTCACTTGCTTGACCTTTTTCCACTGTGTGAATTTAAGACCATACTTATATTACTTAGAGTTTTGTGTTTTGTGTTTGGTGAAAAAAATTCTTCCTAGAATTTCATTGAATTGAAAGGCTTACTTTCAGAATTTACTACTGAAAAATAGGATCAATAACATAAAAAAAATTGGAAAGCTTGGTGAAGTCTAGATAGAAGGTAGTTGTTTCCCACTTCCCTCTTAGATTCCTTTACACTTCATCTTCCTCACCTGAGGGTTTTTAATAAAACTTCACAAGGGCTATGGTGATGGTGCACGGTGAATTGGTGGTAGGAATTCTATGGGGACTACACCTGAGAGGAGAAAGCAAACATTGTACAAAAATGAACAATGATGTAAAATATATATAAATAAATAAATTTCATACACACACACACACACACACACACACACACTTAACTTTTATATCTCCACTGCTGTTTTAGTAAATAATTTAGCCTCTGTGAGGCTTTCAAATAGGCATTAGCACAAATGCACAAACTCTTACCCAACCAGATGTGTTTAGAAGTGCAGAATTTATGAAGTTTAGAAAGGGAACAAGGGACATAAACTGCATTAGACTTAGTATCCTTGGCATAGTATTTTGGCATCTAAGTCAAAAATGTATAAGCAACCATATTAATATTTCTGCAGTGAAACATGTAAGCAACAATCCTGAGTGAGATAAACAAAGACTATAAAAACTTACACATCAGTTCCAGTCAGACTTTTCTGCCATTTTACATATATGCCAAACTTAGGGAAGCTTTTTCCTTTGTACTAAGTTTTTTGCATTTTAGAGTTGGGGACAGGGATGTGGATCCGTGTTCGATCTGGGATGTGGATTTACCTAACATTAAGTAACAAAGTTCTGCAAGAAGTTCTGTATCAAAGAGGGCCCTTTCTAAACTTCACTCACCAATCTCTCCATTCTTCTCCAGAAGAGGCCTCTTTCCTGCTGCCCATTTTATGCTGAAAATACCTCCTTTCTGGTTGGTCAAAGGACCACCCCAGGCAAGGCCAGTCCCTCTATTCAGTTATTAGGAATGTGGTTCACTTCTGCTCCAGACTGTGGGAGAAAGGCGACAAGGAGACACAGAAGAAGGAGAGGGGTTATCAAAGGACTAGATAATTTTTTAAGCACCTAACACAGTACCTGGAAGATGACAACAACAACAATAATAATAAAAGATAAAACACTTAAGACTTCCTATGGGTTATCTCATGTAATTCTCACAACAATCATGTGAGTTAGGTACTATTTATCACCCCATTTGCTGAGGAGAAAGCCAAACCCAGAAAAGTAAAGTAACTTTCTTAGTATCACAGAGGTAGTAAGTGCCGGAGCTGAGATTCGAAGCCAGGCTGTCTGCTTCCAGAGCTCCTGCTCTTTTCCACTAGGTTAGACTGCCGTCCAGATCAACAAGTGATAAATGAATAAATGTACTATGAAATACATCAGACTTTCCATTGGCAAGGATCTGAAAGTACTGTTTGCTCAGAGCTGCTCCTCCCACTTTCTGGGATCTTGTACTTATACTATCACACAAACCACCAATGCCGTGGCCATAACTAACCATTTATTGGCATCCTGGCCTTTCTTAGACCAGAGATCAGAGAAGTCATTCTGTGAGGAGGATCATGCTGCCCTAGTGAACCAGGAAAGCGAGCAGTCGGACGATGAGCTTCTGTCCCTTTCCAGTCCTCATGGCAATGCCAGTGGCGACAAGCATCATGGAGCCAAGAAGCCCAGCAAAAAGCAGCCAGAGCCAGCTGCCCCTCCACCCCCTGAGGATGTGGACCTTCTGGGCCTAGAAGGTTCTGCAGTGAGTAAGAACTTCTCTCCACCGGCGGCTCCGCCCACCAATTCCGAACTGCTGAGTGACCTGTTTGGGGGCGGAGGTGCGGCCGGCCCTGCCCAGGTTGGACAGTCGGGGGTGGAAGATGTATTTCATCCAAGTGGGCCTGCATCCACCCAGTCAACACCGCGCCGGTCTGCCACCTCCACCTCTGCGTCTCCAACGCTAAGAGTAGGAGAAGGTATTTTTTTTCTATATTGTACTATAACTCGGTTTTAAGTGATAGGCTTTGTTTAAGCAGGAGGCATTAAACTTTCCTAATAAGATAGACTTTTCTGGTCTCCCTGAAAGTCTCTTTGCAGAGTGTGTTCATTGAAATGGGGAACACAAGAGGAAATGGAAATATTGTCTTCTTGGGTATAACAGCATAAAAATGGATACTTGAGTTCCTCGTCCTTCATTCCTTTCCTCATGATTTTAATCACTGAGCTTTTTGAGTTACTTTGCTTGGAGATGCAGGTTGATGGATTATTATTATTAATAATAATTATTTAATAGAATAATATTTGTTTGCCAAACGTGCAATTTAGCACTAAACATGGATTTAACTCTTATAAAAACCTGGCAAATAGTTGCTATTATTATCCCCATGTTATAGTTGAGGAATGGAGTCAAATTAGTAGCATACATTTGTATAGCTAGTAATTGATGGGACCAGGATCCAAAACTAGGCCATTTGACTCCAGTGCTTTCTTTCAATTTTCCTGTAGTGCCTTCCTGGAATTGTAGTTGTCTGAAGACACTTAGGCTGGGTAGGGAATACTTGCTTACTTCCAGATACAGTTAGGGGTTCCTGCAAGCAGCACGGCTGGCTGCAGTGGAGCAGATGGTGTCCAGGCTGAGAGTTTGAGCTCCATGTGGCTCAGTCAGCTTCACTCTGCTCGTTGCTTTAGACTCAGCCTTCTTATGCCTGCTCATCCGAGATTTTTTAACAATTTTGGAAGACAGTAGCTAGGGATGCTGAAGTTCATGACAGCTTCTGAAGAACCAGCTGCCCCTTGTTTCTGTCTCCTTTAGCCAAGGTGAGATCATACTAGGAAGAAGAGAAATGACTTCAGTCTTCAGGCAGGTGGAAAGCTGTGGGGACTTTCTTTTCCAAGCTTATCCTTTACTTCTCAGAGGCTTTGGGCTGGTCTTGATTTGTGGCAGTTCAGGTGGAGGCGTTCTTTTTATAAGCGTCAGTCTCAGAATCAGAGAATGTAGGTGCTTAGGCTCAAACTCCTAGAATAGTTATTGTAGACCAGGGTATAAACCCAGATTCCCTGAATCTCAGGCCATTTCCTCTGTTCTTCACCTCCTTCCATCTAGTTCTTATTCACTAGGGTGAAAAAAGCTCTGTCAGGAAAAAAAATTTAAACACCCAAGATAGCACAGTATTTAATGTTTATGTTTGAAGACCATACACCTCCTCTGACTTTAGTAATTTAATTCATCATAGCTCCAGGCAGATAGTTGTATTACAGTTTCAGAGTGAGATGGGGCTTTTGAAACATTAGTTAGATCAGTGTCTCAGGTTACAGTTGGGGCCCACATGTATTGACTAACTTCTCCAATGGTACACAATTGTTTAGTGGCCGACCCAGATTTATAACTCAAATATTCTGTCCCCTGAGAGGAATTAGTAGGAGCACAAAGTGCAGAGTTAAAGATCTGTATTTGAAGGCCAGGATTAAGAATAGACTATCTGTGTAGCCTTATTTAAAAAATGAAAATGAAAACCTTAACCTTTAATACTTACCAGTCAGCCTTGTTGTAAAGGCTACATTTTGAGTTAATTGCTGAGAAGTTCATTTTTCTTTATTGGAGAATCCCCCTAACTTAACATAAGTTGATATTATAAGTGTACCAAGTAGTAGTGATTTTAGCATCCCTCACCAGTGGGTTTCAAACTGAGATGTAGAGGGATTAAGTCTGCTTCCTTTTACAGTTACTCTGTAACTCTTAGTATTCTCATTTTATAGAAGGGATAAAGTTTTGTGAGTATTGGGTGAGATAAGGGGTCTACATTGTGTAGCAGACTGCCTGACATATATAATTGGTGCTGTTGTTGCCATGTAAGGCTCACTTGCTGCTCAGCACATACCAGGAAGGCATTCTGTCAGCGAGGTTGTAGTTGAACACACTATATGTAGTTGAATTACACTATATGTTCTACCTCATTAGTAAAAGTCGAATTTGTTCATTAATTTGTTTGATTCTAGTTGTCTGTTCCTAGAATAATCAATCTCTGCAGGAAGCAGTCAGCTCATTAGTTTGATACTTAGACTTTAGGAAGTGACACCTCACTACAGGGAGCTAAAAGGAATTTTGTTACTTGCCTGATAATGAGAAATTTAAGGCCAATTACATACATGCAACTCTGCAGTCATTTTCATTGCGTTCATTTTGCACCTGTGAGGAATGTGAGATGCCTTCAGGAAATTCCTCAAAATTGGAGTCAAAAACTTGAACATAGGGCCTCCCCGGTGGCGCAGCAGTTGAGCGCTGGGTTGCGAAGCTGCCCGGAGCCTCTGCAGCGCCGGTTCGATCCCCGGCTGCTCCCCTACCACCGGAGGAGGGTCCCACATGGCGCGCAGACCTCTCCTGCCGCCCGCTGCTCCCCTCAGCAGTGTATTTCGTCAGTCTGTCTGTTCTGTTCCCCACTCTGGCTCTGGTGAATCCTCTCACCCTCCTGCACTTCTGACTGTACCCAGTGCTTGTATAAATAAATAAACAAATAAATAAATAAATCTTTAAAAAAAAAAAAACTTGAACATAATTTCCAGTTCTATTATTTATTTGCAAGAGGATTGACTTTCTGAACCTCATTCTAATTATGTATAGAATGAAGGTAATACCATCCCCCCACCAGGCTTTGTTCAATGATTCGCTCAGTATGAACACAATTCACTTAGTAAGCACCTCCTATGAGGTCAGGCATGGTTTTGTCACTGATGGGTTCATCTGTGTTGACTTAAACAGAGGCCAGCCTATAATCTTGATTGATTTATTTCCTGTTGTTAAGATACCCAAAAGTCCAAGGAGCTCTTATTTAGAATCTTATCGTTCATCCAACAGATAAACATAGATTTCTTCTTTGACCACAAAGATGGATTACCCATGTGTGCCCAGAAATTGTAGGGATCTATTGTTAGCCCTGGAGGAAATTTTCAGGGTAATCTGGGCCCATGCAGCAACCTAGGAGATAGGCATGTTCCAGTTTTTCAAGTATTTGGCTTAGGGCCATGCAATAGTGACAACTTTTTAATATTTATTGAGTGAATGAACTCATAGGATGAAGAAGTACATTTTTGTTACTATTTTTTAGGTGCCACCTTTGACCCATTTGGAGCACCTTCTAAACCATCAGGGCAAGATTTGCTGGGTTCTTTTCTGAGCACATCGAATGCTTCCAGTGACCCCTTTCTTCAGCCAACGAGAAGTCCTTCACCTACAGTGCATGGTGAGGAAGTACTTTATATTGTGTTCAGGGGAACATAGTTTTCCACAAGATATCAATAGGTGCTCAGATATAAAAGCAGTTTGTAGGATTTTTTTGTTTAAGCTTCATAATGTCTCTGAATTTTGGAAATTAACAATTTACATTAACTTATTAAAAGTTCTGGAATATTATACAGTAAAGAAGCCTATTTTACTTTGTCTTATTCATCTCATTATTCCTAAATCCTATTTAGATTTAGGAATTTTTTGTTTGCACTAGGACTACACAGTCAGAATTATAAGACACCATTGATTATAAGATGTAACTTTAGTTTATATACTGATAAGATAAAAGAAAAATATTGCTATTTTTAATTGATTGGAAATACTTCTTGTTGGAGAAATTTTTATCTATTTTCTTCCCTTTAATATTTTGATAAGAGTACTATCTTTTATGTCTCATGGATATGGGTATTCATATCAGCATAGCAGTTTATGGATAACCCTCTTTCTTTCTTGTTACTGATTAGAACATTTATCACTCAGCTTAGATTCATGAGCACTCCTTTGTTTTATAACCATACTCTAATTTTGGCCTGTGTCATGCCAGTGAGTAGAAAGAATTCCTACTATCCTTGTTGGAAAAACAGTGATTATTTTACTGCTAGTGAATTAGTTACATCATCTTCATGTAGGATAACACAGGGGAGTTCAGATTTCTTCACCTCCAAACCCCTGAGATACTTCCTTCAGATTTCCACAGGGTACTACCAATCTCTTCTGAAAATCAAGAAATACTGCCTATGAATTCAACAAGTATTTTGAATATTTTCTCCCAAGAAAATAATTACTTAGGACATAGTGTTGGAAGAATAAGTAAAATAGCCATAATAAAAGGCAAAATAGAGATTAAACATTTTAGGTAATTACTTTTTCATCTGTGTATTCCTATATCTCCATCAGATTATAAGTTTCCTGATTTGGTGCCTTGCATGTGACAGGTATACATAAGGATTTGTGGATTTGATTAGTAGTAAGGTTGAAGTTCTAACAGCTAATTCTATATCCTAGTTGGATGCAAGACTAAGATCAGAGTTTAATGAAATCAGATGGCAAATGTCAACAAAATTGTTCAATTTCCATCTTAGTTTTTTATGAATTACAGTGGAAGAAGTGGAATAGAAAGGAAAGAACTGATATTGCGAATAGTGTTATGTTCTTTTTAACTTGACTATGGGAAAACACAAGTTACTTTGTACTGAGCAAACAGAACTGGTGAATATAAGGTGTGATAATGCTATTCTTGGGGATTTCATGATTCTTTGTGTCATGATAGTGGTGTGTGTATGTGTATTTTAAATCCTACCAATATCAGTTTAGTATTTGCATTTTACTCATTGATTGCATGTATGGACAGAACCTAGAACTATTTTATAAAAAAATATTTTTTATTGGCACCATCTTGTTTATTATTTGGACTGTATAAATATAGAAAAAAATAACCAACATGTCTTCCTCTAACATATCTTATTCTCTTAGCTGACTGTTTCTTGTAATTCTATGTTTGGAACTTTGAGAAGTATCAGTATGACCTATATTGAAGTTGCCATGAGTTTGTTTTGAGTGAATAGACACACCCTTGGTCCCTTCATGGTGGATGGTATATAGTCAGTGCTCAGTACATGTTCTGGATAACTCCTCCTTCTCTATTCATGTAACAGTGAAGAGAAAGCAACATTTCAGTTCTAAGTTGGCTATGCCTCTCACACTTGTTATTGCCAACCTAAGATGAATTGAGTTCATAAAAATACCACTGACTTCATGTTAAGTGGAGAATTGGGACACACAAAGATGAATAAGATAGGTCTTTCCTGCAATGAATGCACAATTTAATGGAGACCAACATGTTTACAGTTAGAATTCAAAGACTGTGGATATGGAGGTAAAATAAAAGTGAGTTGAAAAAAGGAACAGAGACAGACAAGATGTGGCTATTAGCAACCCTCATGTAAGTAACTATAGATGAAGGCACAACATTTTCATGTTGCAGAGCATGGAAAGAGCTCACGGGAGATGAACTGCCCAGGAGCGTGGAGGCTAAGCAGACTTCCTGGAAGGGATAGTGTTTCCCCACGTCAATTCAGAAAAGGGAGTTCTGAGCAGTCTTGTCCTGACTCTTTTTTTTCTCCCTGTTTGCAGCCTCTAGTACACCTGCTGTGAACATTCAGCCAGATGTTTCAGGAGGTTGGGACTGGCATGCCAAACCAGGTAAAGGTCAACAGGTTAATTTTGGTGTACATTTAACCATTTGCTAAAGATAGTCCTTTGCCCGAGATGAAGTGAGTCTTTACAGGATATCATTGGTCACCCATGTAATTTCCTAAAGACACATCCTGGCAGAACTTTTCACATTGCCTCTGATCTCATTCATGACAGAGGGGTTCAGATTTCTCATTATGTGTTACTTAAATGTTTCTATGTCTCATTTGTTGAGTGTCTTTCTTGATAATAGAATTAGACAAATGTGGGTATATATCTAACTCTATCACTTACAAGCTCTTGGATTTTTTTTACAAGTCTTGACCACAATTGTGGTTAAACTCTTCTGGCTAGTCAGTATTTGTTAACAGTCATCTTGTGCAATTATGTTCTTTACATTTTGCAGATAGCATATGCACATCACACACACACACACACACATACTCACACTCACACACACACACACACAAGAATTCTCATATAATGTGCTCATCCCAGCAACTTTCTGAAGCAGTTGCTGTTCTCTTATTTAACAAATGAGAAAATGTTGACACTCAAAGGATTTAGAAAACATGCCCAAGGTCACTCAGCTAGAAAATACTAGAGCCAAAATTCAGATCTGTGTCTGACTCCAAATTCAATAGAAAAAGTGAAGCCAGATGCACTAGTTGACAGATCTGGAGCGGTTACTGTCTGCTGCCAAGATTTCACTACAGATGCAAGAAAAAGTGTCCTCGAGCTTTCTGTCTGTCTGATATTGGCATCCAAAATTGAATGGGGCATACAAGAAAAAACAAGGAATTTTTGCAACTTATAAATAACCTTGTAAACAGAAAAGAGCTTATTTTGATCCAAAAATATAAAAAAGGAAAATCCTCAAGAATATACAAAAAAAAAAAAAAGAGAGAACTAACAAGGGAATTTACTAAGGTTGCAGAATACGATGTTAAAACAGCAACAGACATGAAGTCAGGTGACTTGAGATAAACGGAATGTAATGGCCACGGGTGTGGTAAAAAATGACACAGGTCTTCTCTATTCCCTGTCCCTGCTGCAGGCTACTAGTCACTTCTGTTAAAGAAACAAGGTCTCACAACATTAACCATATTTCCATATCTAATCTGCCCTCAGAGACCAGATGAGAAGTATCTCTGAATTTCTGAATTTCAGAATTCAGCCTTGGAAAATGAACTCATTTTCAGTGATCTTAATTCCTTTTCAGGAGGTTTTGGAATGGGAAGTAAGTCAGCTGCCACCAGCCCCACAGGATCCTCACACGGCACTCCCACACACCAAGCCAAACCGCAGACTCTGGATCCTTTCGCTGACCTTGGGACACTAGGTACAAACTAAGCAGGTTAAGATATAAATGACATTTCCTTATGACTACATAGCCTTGAAGTCATCTTATTTGACCATTAATATTCTGACAATGAATGTAGCTTCATAATAGCCATACTTATATCACTACAACAACTTTGTCATTTTAGAAATGTAGTAATTCTTACAACTCCTGGGGAAACTGGTTTCCTAAAGTTCTCCATTTTTCAAGTCATATAACTTAGGGAAGTTAAGACTTTCTGAAGTCACAATAGGAATGTGAGCAAGGGCTAGAAGCCAAAAAGTTTGACTGCTGGGCACTTGTTTTGAGAATAAAAATTAGACTTCCAAATTATATAGCTGCATTTCAGAAATGACAAAAGACAGCATCCTTTTCCTTGAGGTGTTTCCACAATGAATAATTCTGATAAAACACCAATGCTTTAGTTCCTCCCATAAATACTCTGAGTTAATTGACCTGGCTGTGGCTTGGATATAGAGCTGTGATTTCTCCATCTTTAAAGTAGAACGAAAAATACTACCTTCCTCCTAAGAGTATTGTGTGCATTGAAAACAAAATATATGTAAATGTGTTTTGCAAATTCTAAAGAGCTGCATAAGTATTATTTTATTATCAGTTACTTACAGTTTGGTGCATGAAAGTGTCCTTGGACATGATCACAGTTTAATTTCTCATTTACCTCTTTAAATACAGGCCACAACTGTTTTTCATATTTTGGAAAATAGAGCAGCATGTATGTATTTAAAAATTAGGAGATTGTGGAATGAGTATTCTATTAAATATCTGGCATAAAGTATTTAGCATTTTTAAAAATTTGAATAAGATCCTTTGCCCTGATCAAAATTGTTGGTGTCGACTATGTTTACTCTCCTGCAATGAAGTGCAAGTAGTGTGAAATTGAAAGCTCTTTATGAAATTTCAAAACATCATTGTTTATTCTTGGTCACTACCAAGCTTGCACTTAAAACAAGCAATGGTTAATACTGATAACTGATGTGTAATTAGACTAATGAGTAGAATTTATTTTGTTTTATTCCCTATTCTTGGAATTTGCTAGTTTTTATTCCAGTGAAATTATAGAATCTGTTTAGGACTGTGGTGAAGGGTCATTAGTACTTTGGTGTGGATGTGGTATGGTATCATACATTTGAGAAAGTGCGAACTTGTACTCCTAAAACATTTATACTACTGTAAAACATTGCTCAGAAAAAAATTTTAAGATAAAATAAAAAATTCAAAACCAAGACCAAAAAAATCTGCTTCGGAGGTGGGCAGGAGGGGAGGAATAGTACAATAGGAAAAACCAGGCATCTTCTGGCTTCCAGTCAAAAGATGTGGAGTCAACTCTTTGTTCTGCCACTTGCTGCTGTGTGGCTTTGAGAAAACCACTGAACTGTTTTGACCTGCAGTTTGTTCATCTGAATAAAAATGGAGCTATGAACACATACCTAAAAATGTCATTGTGGGGATTGAGAAATGGAGGATATTAGGATATAGATGCCTGCTATTCTATAATGCTTAGGAATGTTAATTGTATTGCTTGTCAAGGCCATTTACACTAAAGTCATTGCAAATAATAACTTGAGACTCAAAGAGTTAGAGGCTACTACAAAATACCAGTACCTCTTTCTTCCCCAACCTCCGCCTGCTTTTTATTTCCTGTAGGTAGTTCTTCATTTGCCAGCAAACCTACCACACCAACTGGATTGGGTGGAGGATTTCCACCTCTCAGCTCACCACAGAAAGCATCTCCCCAGCCTATGGGTGGAGGGTGGCAGCAGGGAGGTGGCTACAACTGGCAGCAGCCTCAGCCTAAGCCCCAGCCCAGCATGCCACATTCCTCTCCTCAGAACCGACCCAACTACAATGTGAGCTTCTCATCCACACCTGGGGGTCAAAGTGAACGTGGGAAAGGATCGACGAACTTGGGTAAGGCTGCAGGGCCAGGCTTCATAGTACCTGGCTATGTCTACCTGAAGTAGGAGATAGAAGTGATTTGCAGTAGTTTTGAGGCAATCTTGTAGCTGTAAAGACACAGCATGATCCCTGCCCCCCATGCAATGCCTGGAGCTCCTGGGTTTCTCACACTCGCCATATTGTTTTGTGATTGCTGGCTCACTTGTCTGTCCCTTTATACAGAGATCAGTTGGAGGGCAAGGATTATGTCTTATTTGCCACTTTATCATCATCTAGCTTAGTTTTTGGCATTTAGTAGGCACTAAATGAATATTGAATGGATGTGAGTGGAGTGGTGGATCTTGAAGCTGTTCATCCTTTGAAAGAGAGAGTAGAGAATAAAGGTTGGGAACCCATCAGACACTGTGGTTGGGTGCCAATTGGAGGAGTGTACATGTCTTTAGACATCTGGTCTTTCTTATTCCCTGATGGGTGTTCCTGAGGTGATTGGATTTCCTGTGTTGGTTTTTTTTCTTTTTTGAGAAAAAAGTTAAAAGAACACAAAATGGGTCAACAACTAGACTGGAAGACACTCTAGATGGGATTTTTTTTTGGGGGGGGGCGGCAGTTGATAATTTGTAAAAACATTTTGCATAGCCAGGATTGTTAAATTTGAGTTTGTTGAAAGGCCTGTTATGATATATTTCACATTTCAGTTGATTTGATCATACTTTCTCTCTTTGGAATATGGAAATTTTTCTACTTTTCTTATTAGCAGTAGTTAACATTTATTGAGAGCTTACTACATGTCAGGAGTTTTTACAGATTTCATATCATCTCTAAAACCAATCCCATGTTGTCGATCAGGAATCAATGATAAAGATCAGTAGAGAAATTTCCTAATTCCTAATTCCATACAGCTTATAAGTGACAGACCCAAGATTTGAACCACACAGTCTGGCTCCAGAACCCCTGATCTTAACCACAATGCTTTCCTGGCTATGATACAGGTGCCTTTTCATAATACTGACATGATAGGGATTCCTTTGTTGGGAAAAGATAGCATCATATTTGTTCTTTGGTTAACAGTAGACAGTCCTTAGATAATTCTATAGAGTGATGTGACTTTCGATTTTTATTTTGAATAGAATTGAGGTGAGTGTCTTCAATCAACAAATATTTGTGGAGCATTTTGAGTGTGGAAAATATTGGGGTTATAGTAATGAGCAAGACACAAATTCCTTAGCCTCGGGGGAACTTACATTTGTGTGTGTGTGTGCGCGCACACGCATGTACATCCAAGTGTGTGGTCAGGACATCTTACCCTACAGAGTTGGCAAATGAGCTGAAACTCAAGCACCAGTTTTGGTTGGCAGACATTGGATGCATGGACTGTTATGTTTTGGTTTTATTTAACAGATATTTAAATAGTCAGGTATATCCTAACACTTTTTAAAATGTTAACTTATCAATTCTCACAACATATAGCAGTAGTGTTAACAAAATCACTGCTTTACAGATGAGGAACTGAGGTATGGAGATGATAAGTAACTTGCCTCAAGATCTTATTGCTAATAATGGGCAAAGCTAGAATTCTCTACTGCAGAGACTAGGTGTGGACAAGAAAGCAGTGGCATGTGTAGACTCCAAATACAAAAGCCCAACACTGGTACTAACTAGTTATACCTGGGGCAGAGTAAGGGGGCATGGAAATCAAGAGCGTATGCAGCTAAGAAAAGATGGTACAGTAGAAAAGGAGTTGCATTTAGTTTGATACCCCAGCTCAAGTTCTAGCTTTGCCATGGCCACGCCATATGACTCTGAATGGACCTTATCATTTCTCACACTTCATTTAGGTCTCATATCCTATTCACAGGATAAATATGATGATGAAGGGCCTTAACACATGTGAAAATACCTTGACGTATTATGAGATAATGATATGATTATGTTCAAGAGTAAAAACTACAGTGATTTTTCAAAAAATTATATTGCAGAAGGGAAACAAAAAGCAGCTGACTTTGAAGACCTACTCTCTAGTCAAGGTTTCAGTGCACACAAAGACAAAAAGGGGCCCCGAACAATAGCTGAGATGAGAAAGGAAGAAATGGCTAAGGAAATGGATCCTGAAAAATTAAAGGTGAGTGAGCCTCTGACATGGTACGATCCTCTGTACCACAAGGTCACACTTGTGGAGCATCCACATGGAACCAACGCGTGGTGACTGCAGTATTTGATGTTGCTAGAGCTGGAGGCATCCGATAGTCCCAATAGAGAACTGGATCGAAAAACATTTGAATTTCTCAACCCATCTGCACTTACAGATTCTGGAATGGATTGAAGGCAAAGAGAGAAATATCAGAGCACTTCTGTCCACTATGCACACTGTGCTGTGGGAAGGGGAGACCAAGTGGAAACCAGTTGGCATGGCAGACCTGGTGACACCAGAGCAGGTGAAGAAGGTATACAGGAGGGCTGTGTTGGTGGTGCACCCAGATAAAGTGAGTATGACCTGCACTGTTGTGTCAGTTGTCTTTTCCTCCTTTCATTTATTATTTATTTATTTATTATTTTTTTATTTTTTAAAAAAGATTTATTTATTTATTTATACAAGCACTGGGTACAGTCAGAAGCGCGGGAGGGTGAGAGAATTCACCAGAGCCAGAGTGGGGAACAGAACAGGCAGACCGACGAAACACACTGCTGAGGGGAGCAGCGGGCGCAGCAGGAGAGGTCTGCGCACCATGTGGGGCCCTCACTGGCGGCTGGGAATCGAATCTGCACTTCAGAAGCTGTGGGCAGCTTTGCAGCCCAGCGCTCAATGGCTGCACCACCAGGGGAGGCCCCATTATTATTTTTTTAAAGTATTTTTTCTTACATTATTATTAATTTTTGGACAATATATGGCTTCTCCCCTCAGGTGTGGTCACCATACTTTCATTATTTTTTGAGCATGTATTAAAACAACATGCTTTCAATTTGCTGGTTATGAGGCCATCTGTGTAATAAAGTCCCTAGGCTAAAATCGGGTATTTAAATAAATAGTTGTACTTTATGAAACAGGTGAAATCAAGTTATGCATTATGAATAATGAAATAGGGGCTTACTCAGAGAGCTGTAAAATTCCCCGCTGACTAATTTTTAGGACTCCGATATAAATTGTGTCCTGACTTATAATAGGGTAGACTGAGAGGTGTGGAGGGAAGAAAATTTTTCTCTTCTGTAAATACAGCAGTATGTTTAGCCAGGATTGTACTGAAAAGTTAGAATACAGTTGGCAAAATTGGGGAAATCAACAAAATATTCCAAATGAAACTAAATCGATCACTATATTGATTATGCCAGTTTATGTTTTCATTAAAGTATGTGTATGTCTATGTTTTCTACATTGTCAGAAACTTAAACTATTGCATGGCCCAACTGAAACCCTCATAAGACTTAGAAATCTCCATGACAGGAATAAATTAGGCAGTGTATTAGTCTTAATCTCCCCCAGTTCAGTCTTAGCAGTCATCCCTGTACTCCATGCTGAAGTGGAACATCTTGCTGTCTTGTGAGCTGGGCCTGTGACGCTAAGTGATAGTTGAAGTGCCCCTTGGGAATCATGCTTGAAATGGATGTATTTGATTTTCGTTTCTCCATTTTTTTTTTTTTTGTGACCAGTCTGAATAGAAGAATTAATGGGAAATGCTGTGACTCAGTGAATTGAAAGAGCAAGAGAAACAGCCCCACCCCCCAAATCCACAAACTGTATGACTTAGATAGATTACAGTTCTCCCAGAACACCTGTTTTTAGAAATGGGGAAAGAGGAGGTTAAAAATGCAGTTCACTGGAGATAAGCTGTCATGTGCCTCAGTCACTTGGTAGATAATCTAGAGATGGGAGCTATATCTGATAATTTTTGGTACCTAGTAGGTTCCCTTTTATCTACTTACAATGATCCTATGTGAATTTCTAGGGGAAGGGCATTTGGGGAAGTCATCATAATTAGTGTTACATAGACTGGGCTGCAAAAAAGTAAATGACTTAGTAAATTTCGATTACTTAGAGCTCACATATTAGCAATGAAAAATTTCATGTAAGTAAAGGTTGGGTCTGTGATGTTTAATGTGTGTTTTTGCTTTTTCCATAGGCTACTGGGCAACCCTATGAACAATATGCAAAGATGATTTTCATGGAGCTCAATGATGCCTGGTCTGAATTTGAAAATCAAGGCCAAAAGCCCTTGTATTAATGTATGAGCTTTCCCATCTCTGCTGCAGACCTGTGCTAACGCTTAGTGTGTGTCACAATTCTGAGGTTGTCACAGATGAACCAAAAACTCCAGTAACATGTATCCAGTACTAACCTGTTAAATTACTTGTGAATTAATTCCTTATTGATAAGGAATGTGGATAATTGTTTTCTCAAGCCCCCACCATAAAAGGTCCAAAGCAGGAGAGGAACTTGTAGTCAGATGACCTTGCACAACATTCCAGCCTGCCCTTTGGGGACCCTACTCAGCATTTTCTGGGGAAATGGAAAATAGAGGCCACTGAAGGCATAATATCCATCTCATTGTCTGAGGATTAATGAGCAAAAGTTATAATAGGATTACATGGTGGATTTTAACAAATGGTTTTTAGATTTTCTTGGAAAGATGTAATTTGAATAATGGCATTACATAGATTCTAGGAATGCAACCACCAACTGTTTTTTTTTTTTTTTTAAAATGGAAATTTACTATGGTCTTAGCATAACACTGCATTTCTTTTGGTCTGGAGATTTAGAGATGTAAAAGAACTTGACTTGTGGGAAGTGACTATACTACAATCTAGTGGTTACCACCAACCGTTACTGGAAACGCTAAAAAAGTAGTGAAAATGCTGGTAAGAGAATATAAGGGCTCTGAGGCTGTAGGGATATTATTCCTGGTCAGAAACCAGGCTGCTGCCTTCCTTTCCCTTTAGAAAATTGTGGTTTCTTAAAGGAAATGTTTTAACACCATAACAACAACTCTAAACCTGGACTTGAAAGAAACTTTAGTTTTGTTATAATGCTTAATGCTCTTCCTTTTGCTTAGCCAAAAAAGTGTTCTTAGCTGGAAATAGGTTGCAAAGCGGTTTGGCAGGACTGATACACAATATGGTCTCAGCGTCCCCTAGATCTGTGAGCGGTTGTGGTGAGAGTGCTATGCTCACCTGCAGACTGGGCCAGATGGCTTGGCAGAATTTGCTTTGAGGAACCAGTTCCCCTCCCTACCTGGTGAAACTGGATTATTACTTGGGGTCTATTGCTTTAAATATAGTTGGGGGTCCACAGGAACAGCATTCGCACAGGGACATCTGCGAAAGAAAAGCAAGGATGAAACCTTTGCAGACCTCATACTGGTTAGATTTCAGTCCAGTGTTTTGGCTGTTTCTCACTTGAGGGATAAGCAGCTGTTATCCTGTGACTCCAGTAGATCCCTTTCGGTGTGCACATCTACAATGTGCCTACAGTATATATATGCAAGGCAGATGGGCACAATGGTTTCCACGCTAGTCTTAAAAAGGTTCATGCTCAATATTATTGTGTTAAGCTTTCAAAAGTTGTTTTTAAAAGACAATCACTTTTGTTTATATTTTTAATTTTCTTGTGGTAAATTGTACCAGACAAGCAGCATGTCGAAAATACTTTTTGTTCTGTATAGAACTCTCTTCCTTTTTTTTTTTTTTGGGTTATAAAAGGTTCATCACTTACTTTACCTTTTACTGACAATGTGAAACTCAAAGAAAATGTTCTCTTTTGAAATATACAGCTGTAAACTGTTCAAGGTAACCATAACAAACTAGGTGTTATTTATTAACATATTATAAAATAATGTTTGATCCAGTATGTGCTTGTCTTATTTAAAATTGGAATGTGAGACATGTTGCTGTGACCTGTTTTTTCTCATTCATTCACATTTGTAGATATTGTGTGAACTACAGTATATAATGATAATAATTAAAAAAGGCTATTATGTGAATGTCACGTACATTTTGAAATGATAGAACTATATTAGCTTTGTATCATGTTTGGATAATTCATCAATATTCACAGTTTAAAACATCGTTAAACATTATATAATTAGCAATGAGAAAGAATCTTACCTAACTTAAATTTGGGAATTCCCCCATCTGTATTCCGGATACATTATAATTCTGGACCCCTATTTATCTCAAAACTCTTAACATATGCAGACCAACAGGGCTTTGCATTCCTTTAAAATATCTGGTTGTGACAGAGCTTGTTGTTGATCAGATTCACTGTTTCATTCATATTTATTGTAATATATTTTTTGTTTTGTAAATATGTTACACATAAAATGTGATTGGTCTAAACTATTTGTAATGTATATTAAAAGGCTCAAAAATACTTGTAGAGAGCTAAGTAATTTTTGCACTTGCAGGGATATCATGACAAGCTTGAATTACACCTTTTATGATTCACTTTTTATTTTTATTTTTTTTTTAAATTTTTTTTTTGTTTGTTTGTTTATTTATAGAGGCATGTTTTTATTTATTTATTTATTTATTTTATTTGTTTGTTTACTTATACAAGCACTGGGTACAGTCAGAAGCGCGGGAGGGTGAGAGAATTCACCAGAGCCAGAGCGGGGAGCAGAGCAGGCAGAAGGACCGAAGGACACGGCTCAGGGGAGCAGCGGGCGGCAGGAGAGGTCTGCGCGCCATGTGGGACCCTCCTCCGGTGGCTGGGGAGCAGCCGGGGATCGAACCGGTGCCGCAGAGGCCGCGGGCAGCTTCGCAACCCAGCGCTCAACCGCTGCGCCACCGGGGAGGCCCTATGATTCACTTTTTAGAAGAGTTATGGGGCAAGAAAATAAAAAGCACATAATACATTTGCACCAGGAAGCAATCTGACAAGATTTTGGTTTATACTTTAACCACACCTACTGTTATCCTTACACACACAGTCTCTCTCTCTTTCTCTCTCTCTCTCTTTCTCACAAACACACACACACACACACATACACACACACCCATCATGGTGCATGAATACTATGTTTCAAAAAGAATCATCATAGAAATCCTGGGATTACTGAGTAAGAATATTAATGGATTTTCCAAGCTGCTTTTTTTATGCTGAGGCAAAGGCATTGATCCTAGAAGTCTGGGACTTTGCCATAGAAAGCAGTTATTTTAGTTCTCTTTTTCTTGGTTATATCCTTTAAAAAACATTGTATGATCAATTTTAGTTCTTTTAGGATAAAAGCAGAGTGTTCATTTGTTAACAAATGCTGCAAATCAAAAGCATTTGAACCATCACTGTACTGTCTTTGGAAGAACATTCAAGTTGGGTCCTAAATAAAACACCATTATATAAGGAATGAACACAGAAGTTGAATTCCAGAAGCAGTTATCATAGTAACAGGACTGCTTTTCTGCTGGAAACATCTCTTGGAGAATTTAGGCCACGCAAGCAAATTTTGGTTGTTCCTAAAATAAACCATGATGTTTTGGCATAATAATATAGTGTGGACTTGAGACTAGAAAACTGGGTTTGAATCCTGATTTTTCCACTTACAGACTTTCACACTAGGCAAGCTTCTTAAAGACTCTGAGTCTCAGTTTTATCACCTGTAAACTAGAGATCTTCTAACAACCCTGCAAAGGAGAGAATGTGCATATAAACTGTCTATTTTAGGTGCTTACTACTTACACTGTAATGGTTGTTATTGATAGTTGATGAGACAATGTGTATCATCATCACAGGTTGATATTGTGGGTGGAATTACATTGTAACTTCAGGTTGTGCAGAGTGGGTAACATAACTAGCAAAGAACAACCAAAAGTAACTTGTGCCCTGTTCCTTTTGTTTCTGTGGGCTCACAGATTTGTCTGCATAGAATAGCAAAGAAACATGACTGAGTGAAAAGAAGTGGTAGCTGAGAGGAAAGAAAACTAACATTGGCTGATTTCAGTAGTGTTGCATCATACTTGTATTTAGTTTATGCAGTGACTTGAGCGTTTCCCAGTGTGAATTTGATGCCACTGCATCGAACTTGCATTCATTGCCCTATGTTTTTTTATATGTTCCTCAATTACTTTTCAAAAAGTTCGCAGAGGCAGGTTTTTGTTAATCTTGCCTCAGGAGATAGAGGCATGGAGGGTTTACTCAGAACTGAGGTTTGAGGCTTGATGTTTTAAAATAGGGAAATATCCTATCTTAATTTTCTTTTTTTAAAGATCTATCTATCTATCTATCTATCTATCTATCTATCTATCTATCTATCTATCTATCTATCTATCTATTTATACAAGCACTAGGTACAGTCAGAAGCGTGGGAGGGTGAGAGAATTCACCAGAGCCAGAGTGGGGAGCAGAGCAGGCAGAAGGATGGAAGTACACTGCTGAGGGGAGCAGCGCGCGACAGGAGAGGTCTGCATGTCATGTGGGCCCCTCCTCCGGTGGCCGGGGAGCAGCTGGGGACTGAACGGTGCTGCAGAGGCTGCGGGCAGCTTCACAACCCAGCTCTCAACTGCTGTGCCACCGGGGCGGCCCCCTATCCTTATTTTCTAAGGGAACATAAAGATTTGTTAATTCAAACAATATTTGTGTATAGTATATATGCAAGATACTAATTGAGATGTAAGGGAAAATCAAATGAACTAATGGATTTGATTGGCCAGTTAAGCATAAGGTGTTGGTATTATTTCTATTTATGTGGCAGTTCCTGTCTTTTGGAGGGCATGAGATCTGTGAGGAATAGTCTAAGTGCTGTCTGACTTCAGAGTTAGACGTTAGTACTTGATCTCATCTTCTTTACTACTAGTTACTACTACGAGGTGCCCATCTAAAATGGGAAAAAATAAGACCTAGTTCATAGTGTGAAGGAATTTAATGTAAGGAGAGAATACAAAATTCATTTGCAGAAGGGTCACTGTAGTCCCAGGCAGTGTATGGGAGGCCTCAGAGCTCATCCAACCCAAAGCACACTGATGCAAGTCAGCTTCACTTACTAAGGTTTTACCCTCTGGTTTTGGCAATGTTTTTATTCTTAAGGGAATCTGGAATGGGTTAATGGAAGAGCAGGGTTTTTTTTTTAAATGAGCATCTATCTGCTGAGAAGAAAGTGGATTTTCTCAGGAGATGGTTAAAGCCCCTGGCTAACTTTCTTCTTACAGAATTTAGTAAACTGGAGAGGACAGATCGTGTGGGCAGGAAACTGTCCCTGTATTTTTTCTGATTCCAGACATTACCTTTGGACAAACACCTCATTTTTTGGCTTCTCACAGTCTTCTAGTATCTTACTGAAACCAGGCTGTGCCTTTGAAGTAGTGTCAATTTTTCTTCGAGTCCATTTCTCTTCTATGGGCTAGCCATAGATTGACAGGGAAGGCTTCAGCAGACCCCTATATATGGCTTTCCAAAAGCACACTGGAATGTGAGGAAATGAAATGGAAGAATCGAAGAAGAAATGAAACCCTCATCAATTATAGAAAATCCTCATCAATTAAGGAGAAATGTCTTAACTTTCTCATGAGACCAGTCTGGCACTACAATAAGGAAAACTACAAAGAACAGCCTTCCAGCGTTTGTTTCCTTGAGAGCTTTCACAGGTATTTAGAAAATGATACTCAAGGGCCTCCCCGGTGGCGCAGCGGTTGAGCGCTGGGTTGCGAAGCTGCCCGCGGCCTCTGCGGCGCCGGTTCGATCCCCGGCTGCTCCCCGGCCACCAGAGGAGGGTCCCACATGGTGCGCAGACCTCTCCTGCCACCCGCTGCTCCCCTCAGCAGTGTACCTCGGTCCTTCTGCCTGCTCTGCTCCCCGCTCTGGCTCTGGTGAATTCTCTCACCCTCCCGTGCTTCTGACTGTACCCAGTGCTTGTATAAACAAAACAAACAAATAAATAAATAAATAAAACATGCCTCTATTAAAAAAAAAAATTATAAAAAAAAAAAAAAGAAAATGATACTCAAAAGAGTGAAAACTTCTCAACAACATTGACTAGAATACAGGCTACAAAACAAAGAATGCAGTGTATTTCTGGATATCCAAGGTACTGGAAACACAATGCTTTTAATAGTTGTACTGAATCTATGAGGAGAAATGAGGAAAGCTAGAAAAATAAAATAATTGCAAAGGTAATTGCAAAAAATAAAATAATTGCAAATAATATGCTTAGTTTATATTTTGAAAAAGTGAATTGAGCAGAGATACTGAAAGTTGGTGGTGATGAGAGTCAGTGATGCTAAGGTAGACAAGGGAACCTGAGTTCCCAATAACCCCTTTATCGTTCAGTCGTGTTGAAAATGAAAAGCAGTAGAAGAGGGGCATCACCGTAGTGTGATCACCCTGTTCTTTGCTAGAATGGGTGGTAACTGGTCCATCATCCAAGCACTTTCAGCGCACCTGCACCTGGCACAGGTAAGTCTTTCCCTTTCTGAGGCTCTCCCCGTTAAAGGTGAAACAAAGCACTGACACTAGATGGATTTAAGAGTCTCCTCCAGATTGTTTCTGCCCTACACAGTTCTCTCCAAAAGCAAACACTGACTGGCCTCCAAGGTGTAAACTCGCCTTGGTTACCAGCTGACTTTGAGGCCCCAGCGTATAAAAACAGTATTTATTTAAATGTCCATGCAAGTCTCGGACACAAAACAGCTTCTTGGTCTTTGTATAAATTACCAGGGTACAAAGGAGAAAACGCCAGTTTTTGAAAAATGCCAAAGCTGGTGTTAATCAAGGCAAGCAGGGCGCTGCAAACGCCGCATCCTCAGCAAGGGTGTGTCGTCGAGGCCCGACCCGGGAGCCCCGACCCCACCCGCCTCCGCCGCGGGAACGCCTGCCGGCGCACAAAGGCACGCGCGCCTGCACGCGGGGACTGCAACGCCGGCTGCTGGCGGGTGTCCCTCGCCCCACTTTCTCGGTCTCCGCCCTCGGGCAGTTTTGGGTCTCGCGCGGGGCTTCTCGCGTGCCGAGCGGGCCAGCGGGGGTGCCTGGGGCCGAGGACGCGGCGGCCGGGGGAGCCCGTGGCTCAGCCCACGCAGGAAGGGCGGAGCGTGCGGGCAGTTTCGGAAATTAGGGAAGGGCTCAGGCTTCAGCAGAGGGGCTTCCGGCGTGAGATCCTGGTTAATCGGAGTTGGCGGAGGGCGGAGGGTTTGAGCGATGAGCGGACCCTGGAGCAAGGTCCGCGGACCCGGGAGAAGTGAAGCTCTGCGAGCGAGGGGAGGGGTTATGGCCGTTCGGGGCGGGGCTCCGAGTGGCGGGGTGGGGCTGGGGACTGCGGAGGCGGGGCTCCGAGTGGCGGGGGCGGGGCTGAGGACGGCGGAGGCGGGGCTCTGAGTGGTGGGGGCGGGGCTTAGGGCGGCGGGGGCGGGGTCCCGGCTGGCAGGGCGGGGCTCTGAGGGGCGGGGCTGAGATCGGCGGGGGCGGGGCTCCGAGTGGAGAGGGCGGGGCTGAGGACGTCGGGGGCGGGGCCCCGAGTGGCAGGGCGGGGCTCCGAGTGGCGGGGCGGGGCTGAGATCGGCGGGGGCGGGGCTCCGAGTGGCGAGGGCGGGCCCGGGACCAGCCGTGCCGCCCGGGGCGGGCCTGGGCTGGGGCCCGGGCTGTGGCAGGAAGCCGGAAGCAGCCGCGGCCCCAACTCGGGAGACATGGCAGGCGTTAAAGGTACAACTTGGCCCCAGACCCGCTCGTCCTGCGACGGGGCTGTCGCCCCAGGTTCGGGCTAAGGCTGGAGTTGCGCCTTCAGCGCGTGGGTGGGGAGCAGCCCACCTAGTCCCGCCACCCTTCCCACGCCTCTGGGTCGGAAGGCAGTTGCCCGCTTTCTTCGCCCCTTGGGGTGCGGCTGGGGGGCCGTTTCGGGGAGCCTCAGCTCTTTTTGCAAGGCCACTGGCCTTCACGCTCTCACCTGGAGCATCCCGGGACCCTCCAGGCGAGGCCTCGCGGGGAGCAGTGCCCGGCTGGCAGGTGCTGGCTAGCCCGGCAGCATCGCCTCCGGGGTCCCCCTCAATTCCTCGGCCGTCTCGCCAGAGCCTCCGAGTTTTAAACTAGGTTTCCCCCTCCTGGCATGTCCACCCCAACGCTCCCGTTCCTCTCCCTGCCGCTCGGCAGTTTCCCATGTCTTACAGAGGAGGCTTTGTCTCCGGTGTTCTCGTCGTGAGGGAACTTCTTCCTCGTTCCTGATGCTTTTTCCAGTTGGGCAGAGTTGATGCAGGCGGGGTGTCAGCAGAAAGCGCCCAGAGATGCTGTGTTTCTCTTAATTGGGAGGGTGGATGATTAGGTGGAATCTTATCGCTGTCTTCATTATTCATCTATGCACAGACAAGAAAGACTTGTTTGTGCAGAATATGATTTTGAATGGGGTTGTTGATGGAAAGGGTATGGATTCCTTTTTGGGGTACTTTCCCGGAATGGGGGGGCATGGCAGAGGTGGGAGAGGTTATCAGGATTCCTGTTACTGTTTTGTTAGGAAATCATTCGATTTACAATCTTTTGAACAGAGTAGCATAACTTTTTTTCTATCTTGGAGTTCTCTTTGAAATTTGTACTCAAAGATCTTCCCTGTTCAGTTAATCAAGATATGCTACACATAGGTATACAGTATATTTGCACGAGTGTGTGTTCACTATGAAATCGATCTCAGTGTGTGAGCTGTTAGTAGTGGACACATTTTACCTCTCTTTCTGGCTGACTAATATATTCAACATTATTAAACATGATTTACTAGAACATTGTCTTACTCTGAGAGCGTCCATTGTGTAATATATTCATTTGAAGCCAATACAGATAACAAGTTGTGTTTTAGTATTACACTGCATTTAGTTGTGCCCAGTAACTATCAAATATTAAAGGCGATGTTTATAGGTGAATGTGTTAGAAATTGTTATGTGGTAAAAAGGAAAATAGGCTAGGAAATGGAAGAAGAAACACTTGCAAATAATCCATTCAATTTTTATTAAATGAGTTCTGAGACTTGGGTAAAAAGATCAATGAGAAGTTATAGTTGGGTGACAGATCTGGAAATAATGTTACTTCCTAAGTGTCTAAGGTGTGTGCAGGTACAGTTGGGAGCACAAAGTTAGTGTTGTGGAGTGAATTGTGTCCCCCAAATAGATATGTTCAAGTTCCCGTTCCTCAGTACTTGTGACTGTGACCTTATTTGGAAATAGGGCCTTGGGAGATGTCCTGAACTTAAAATGATACTAGGCCCTAATGCAGTGACAAATGTCTATAAAAGAAAGGGGAAGTTTGGACATGGAGACATAAAGAGAACACCCCATGACCATGGAGGCAGAAATTGGAACTAGACAACTAGCTGCAAGCCAAGGAGCACCAGAGGTTGCCAGCAACCATCAGGAGTTAGGAAGAGGCAAGGAAGGATTCTCCCCTTAGGACCTTCAGAGGGAGCGTGACCCTTCCGATACCTTGATTTAAGACATCAAGCCCCCCAGAACTGTGAAAAAATAAATTTCTGTTGTTCTGAATCACTAGTTTGTAGCACCCTGTTCATAGCAGCCCTAGAAAACTGGAACAGATGGAATTACTTGACCCTGCCCCAGGGAGGATGAAGACTGTGTTCATGGAAGAGGCAAGCCTTGAATGGGCTCTAAAAGGTTCTATGAGGCTTCTCTTGGCAAAGGATAGGGTGAGGGTGGAATGTATTCTCAGTGGAGTGGAGAGAACAACGTGGGACCTGGGCAGCGGGCATGAGAGAGCATGTACCCTTCAGCAGCTGCAGCTGTGTTAGTAAGGCTACAGCTTGGTGGCAGAGTAGTGGGATTGAAACTGGAAAGGTCAGTCTTCTGGCCATGATGTCTCTAAAGGAACAACCTGGAGGCTGTGAAAGCAGCTGCAAAGGGGTGAAATTGTCTTGGTATATCTGAGATCACCGTCTGATGTGTGGAGGATGGACTGGAAGGGTGACAATTTGAGGTAGGTACAACATGATAAAGGCTGCACTAGGGCAGTAGTAGAGGGTTCTAGAGAAGAGAGTTTCTTAGTCCTTTAGGGCTGTTACAAACGACAATTTATTTCTCAGTTCTGGAGGCTGGGAATCCAGGACACAAATGCTAGCAGATTCCCTCTCTGGTGAGGGTCTTCTTCCACATAACATGGTGGAAAGGGCAAGGGAACTCTCTGGGGTGTCTTTATTAAGGACACTAATCCCTTTCATGGGGTCATTCATCCACCCTCATGACTTAATCACCTCCCAGAGACCTCTTATACCAATGCATTGGGTGTTAGGATTTGACATATGAATTGGGGGTTGGGGAGACACAATCTTCAATCTGTAAAAGGGTGGACACAGGTAGTGAGCAGAGGCCTGGGAGATTGGAATGCCTTGACTTGCTTTTTTTCTAGTAGGCAGAGTGCATGGATGTTGTTTGTCTTTCAACATAGATCCTTCAAAAGGAAGAAGTGCATGTTTGGGAGGAGAGGGTGGGAATGCTTCGCTATTACACATGTTGAATGTGAGGTCCTTATTGCTACCAGGCAGATAATTCTAGATCAGAGTTGGAGGTTCAGGCCTTGTTCGTAGCACCTTTTCTGGGCTGCAGCATCAAATGTAGCCGGACCCTTCTGGCACTGGGGGGCTTTCTCAGCAAGAGTGTAGAGTGACAAGAGAGATGAATTGAATTCCTGGTCAGCTCCAACTTTAAGAAATGGCAGAAGATGTGATTCCTGAAGAAAGAAAAAAGGAACTAAAAGAATCAACTGGAGATTTAGTTGTGAGCCTTGAGAGAGTGGTGTCACAGGTCAAAAAGAAGAAGGTCAGCCTTTCCTAGCTTTGAAAGGTCCCAGTAGTGAAGATGGTCAGGCCAAGGGAGGAAACAAAGTCAACTAGGAAAAAATCATCTCAATTGGAACAATGTATGGAAAGTTACTTCTGTACATTTTCCCCCTAAAATGTGATATTTACTAGATGGAAAAATACATAAAACTGACAATCCTTCCTTGCCTTCTGTCTATATATTTCAGGTGTTTTTATAAGCATCTTGGCATCTTCCTTTAAAAGTCTCCCCAAGTCTCTTCTTAAATTAAAAAGGAACAATCAAAATGTTAATTAGTTTTGTCAATGACTAATTTTGAGTATTATGATTTTTTCAGAAGAAAATATGGATACATCATATCCTATGCTTTTGATTTATAACTTTATCAAAGAACATTGCTAAAATGATCAGCATTTACATACTGAGCACTTCCTTTTGCCAAGACTATATATAGATGATCTCATTTCATTCCCAGGAGCTCCCTGATAAAGTGGCACCATCCTTCCCCTTTACAGATGAGAGGTTGCATTTAAAGAGATGCAGTTCCAACCCAGGGTCACTTGTCAGTGGCAGTGTTACCGTGGTGACTCAGAGCTCCTGATTTTGGAACAACCCTGATATTCTGTCTCAGAAGCATGACAAGGGCAGATATGTTCCTACTCCCTCAGAGAAGAGTGTCCAACAGATGCAGAGAATGGATATTTTATTCAGTGGATACTAACTGGGAATCATTTTCTATGAAGATATGAAAGTGGTTTTCAAATACTTGCAGTACTGTGGTTTAGGGAAGCAAAATGATCAAAGGGTGTATATTACAGGGAGGCAGTTTTGGACATAATTTAAGGAAAGAGGGTTTTCAGCATTTAGAAGCTGTCAGAATGAAATGACTGCCTCGGGCCATAGTGAGTTTCCCTCCACTGGTGTGTAGGCTGGCTTATTGGCCTCTTGTGACTAGTGTAGAGGGAATTCATACATTAGAGGTTGGTACTGGAGAAGCTGGAGACCTTTCTCCACCCTATCATTTAAAAGGGTGGACATAGGTAGTGATTTGCTAATCAAATGTAATATCAGCAAATAAACTAAATTGCTATCTGTGTTTATATCTTTATTTATTTTATAAATTTTATTTTTATATTCCCCATACAATTGCAAGCCCCTTATTTTGACCCCAATCCCTCCCCTCCCACCCCCCACCCCCCATAGAGTGTCTCTGGTTCATAGTTGTTTGTTGATTTTGATTTTTACTTTCTTATAGTTATTCTTTTTCCTGGTCCCTTATTTAAGTTTTCTAGATTCCTGCTATGAGTGAGACCATCCGGTATTTTGTGTTTATATCTTTAAATTAAAAATTTTTGAGATACATTTCATATGCTATAAAATTATCTTTTTCAAGTACAAAATGTCATGGTTTTTAGTATATTCACAAAGTTGTGTAACCATCACTACTAAATCCAGAACATTTTGTCACCCTCCCTACCCACCAAAGAAACTAAACCCATTAGTAGTCATTCCCCATGAGTGGGAACACCTCTTCTCCTCTACTCCTTGGTCATCACTAATCAGAGACCTTTAGCTCTTGACTTTATTTCACAGCTCTTGTGGCATTGTCCTTCAGTGGAGCTATCGGACTGACTTTCCTAATGTTGGGATGTGCCTTAGAGGATTATGGGTAAGTTATTTCAAAAAGAATTTTTTCTTGTGTCCTTATCACTACTAGTACAGGTATGAGCACCAGGCTCTAAATACTGAGTTAGTAAAGCCCAAATTAAGAACAGTCCCTTCCTGGGTCCTTTGTATTTGTGTACACAAAAGATTCTTAAAATGGATATGTTCATTTAGTAAACATTGATTGAACACCTACTCTGGACCAGCTGGGATACAAGGATGCAAAGATGTCCTCAAGGAACTTAGTGTCTAGTTGTGTTTGAGAGATAGGAAGGCAGACAATCTAGTCAGTCTGTGAAGATGAGTATAAGGTGCAGTAAGAGTTCTAAGACTGTACATCTGAATTTCCCCAGGAGACATGGGAAGGGCTGCCTAGAAAAAGCTGTCTTTAAATTGAGACTTGGCGGACAAATAAGAGTTTATTAAGTGGATGAAAGGGGAGGGCATTCTAAAGCAGAAGGAGCATCCAGCAAATTCTTCACTTAATCACTGTTGGTTGAGTGCTTCCCACATGCCAGCCACTGTTATGAAAAAAGTAGGGATTAAGAAATAAGAAAGCAAAGGTCTTGCTCTGTTGGTATCTGTGTTTCTGTGGGGATATCAGACAAAAAACATAAAAATACACATTCTTTCAGAGATAAAACTGTTAAGAAGACTAACTAAAGAGTCTAGATGCTTCAGGTAAGTGAACTGTGAGCAGAAACAGAGAGAATTTGAGGATGTCTGGGGAAAGAGAACTTTAGGCAGCAGGAAAGCCATATCCCAAGGCCCAGGGACATGAAACATAGTGACTCTTCCACAAGGCTAAAACATAAATTAGAGCTGGGAGTGGCAACAGAACAGCTGCCTGAGGCTGGAAGGTCAGTCCTTCAGTGTATGTTATGGAAAGGAGGTTAGATTTTACGCTTCAGGCAATAGGAACTGTGAATAGGTTTGGAGGGTGGGGGGTTTGTGTTAAAGATGATTCTAGCCAAAATATGGGACTAGATAGGGAAGCGCTGAGACCGTAGTCAGGGAGAGCAGCAAGGAAATATTACCATAACTAGTGCTGTGCCAGTAAGGACGGAAAAAAAGGAAGGAGAGAGATCTGGGCAGTAGAATTACCAGGTTTTCTTTGGTATCAGGGTTCAACAGGGGAGAGAGTTCTTGGATGTCTCCCAGGTAACTGGCTTGAGCAACTGGGTGGAAGATGATGTGACTAGCAGACCAGCTGGAGCTGGTGTGACAACACTCATGAGTTCCAGTGTCTTACCCCGGCCTGGCCCACTATCACAGAAATTGCTTGAACACAAGAGGGATCAGTAGTTATAAAGCAACAACTTCTGTTGTTCAATAACTTAAATAGTTTTCACAGCTATTACTTTCACTTTAGGAACATAAGTTATTATCCTCATTTCTATTGAATAGCTGGGAAACCAAAGCCCAGTGTGATTAAAGGTTTAACCCAAATTGCATAACAATAATTGGCACAGCCAGAAATGGAAGTCATGGTCTGACTGTCTTGACTGGTGGTGTTTCCATTATTCCGCAACCAACTCTAAATCCACGTTTTAATGATCTTTGATGCACTTTGTCTTTAGAAGGTAAGAAACTGACCCAGTACTGCAACTACAAAGAAGTTAGTTTATATCTTAGTGATGGTGATGCAGGATTATAGACCAAATGTGGCCTGCTGCCCTTTTTTTGGTAATTAAAATATTATTGGAACACAGCCAGATAGCAGCAAGGAACTATTATCATAATATTGAGTAGTTGCAACAGCCATGATGCAGTTTTTGCTTGAAAAACAGAAAAAATATGTCATGACTTTTCCGACAACCCAATATATTAATATTTTACTTATAGTTAAATATTATAACTATGTTTTTTTAATGTGTTATCTTGGATTACTTTCGCATCTGAGAGAGAGTAGAATATTTTTGTTTGGTATGATTATGTAGGTTATTTTTAGGGGGTCTGAGAATGTTTTTGCCATTAATTTATCTGAAAATATTTTTGAGCATTCCCTACCTACCAACTCATACTGAATAGAAAGGTTATATTTTGGGGTAGTGGGGAAAACCTGTACAGTGGAAGAGTTTAGTAGTTGAGACAGAGACCTTAAGATTTGCAAAACCTAAAATAACTACTCTTTGACCTTTTACAGAAAAATCAACCTGGCTTACAAGTTTATTGATTAGTATATTAATATTTTACATATTGTTAAATATTATAGCTATATTATAAAAATAGACATTTATAATGTTATATTTACAGAGTATAGTAGTATATTAGAGAATAGTACATATTTAATGTTTTAATTTTATATAGAGACAAAGTTGCTTCTACACAATAGTGTTTTTAATTGGATAACTGACTGTGAAAGGGAACATAAAGGTGTTTTTCAGAAAACTGTCGCTATATATTCTAGGAAGACGTGAGAACTCTTAGCAGTGGTCATATCAGATGATAGCTAGATCTTGCTCCAAACCTCTTCTCCTCTCTACCTATTTTATTACTGGCATAAAAGCCCTTTCTAACACTATTACTTGGTGATTTTTGAAACACACTAACAATCCTCTAGTCTAAAATTAGGAATCAAGCTCAGTGTTTCCATCTTGTGTCCTCTTGATGAAAGGCACTTTCCTTCTTGCTTTTCAGTCCCCATCCTGCCTTGCTAGAGCTGTGTCTGAAATGGTGGCTTTGCCGCCACTCTTGCTCAGAAGTGCTGGCTCTCTGGGTGGTTCTGTGCTAGGATATTGTGGGGGTATATACTATTGTGATGTGTATATATAAAAATTGAGTGGAAACTATGCTTTTTATTCCTCAGATAATGAAACATAATGTCTAGTTGGAGAGAAGTATTTTTGAAGTATTTATACAGTACATGTACTTGGAAAGCAGATGGCAATTTTTAATTTATGTAAAACATTGACATTTAGGAAGAAAATAGATTGCATTTTTGCATTATGCTATTGTGATCTCTTGTAATGAAAATGAGAGTGTATCAAAAGTTTTTACTAGTAAGCATATTTATTTTCATGCCTTCCATAGTTAAAATCCATTTGTTTATTCAATAATTATTAATGGAGCATGTCATTCTAGGTCCTGGAAATAACTGGTGATTGATAATACAAATCAGATCTGTGTCTTCATAAAAAAGAAAACATATCAAAACAAGAGCTGTGCAGAAAGTTAAAAGGATGATGTACTGGAGACTTGGGGTATTTAACGTGGATGTCTTGGGAAAGCTACTTTTAAGAGAGCTCTCATTTTATATTGCATGATTAGAAGGAGCCAACCAAATAGAAAACCAGGCGGAGGACCATTCTGAGCCATAGGTTTTGCTGGTGCAAAGGCCCCGTGGCATGTATGAGCTAAGGAGTATTTGAAGAAGGGAAAAAGCCAGCCTGGCTATTGGTGAAGGGAATGAAGGGAAGATGGTATGAAAGAAGTTGAGAATACCCAGATCATGTCAGACTTTGAAGGCCTGGACAAGGAATCTAGTTTTTATTCTAAGTCATTAAAAAATTTCTAATATGTAGGCTCTCACCAGAACTTTACTGACTTAGCATGTGCAAGGCACTATGGCATGTTCTAAAGGGAAAGCAAAGAAGACTGAATTAAGATCCTCTCCTTAAAGAAATTACAGCTCAGTAATACAGAAAACAATTAAAATTCTCAATTATACATTGTATAGTTGTTTCTTAACACAATATAAGCTATTTACATATTAATGAGGTAGCAATTTTTAATTAACACTTCTTAATCTGTTTCTGGTGAAAATCATCTTATAAGTAGTATTGGATATTTTTTCAAACTAGACATTTAAAATAATAATTTTGAAACAGTAATAGGTCACTAATTTAAGCTGTGGCTCTAACTTCTGATGTTGGGTTTCCTCTGCCTCCAACTGACAGTGTTTACTGGCCCTTGTTCGTGCTGATATTCCACGCCATCTCTCCCATCCCCCATTTCATCGCCAAAAGAGCTACCTATGACTCTGATGCAACAAGTAGCGCCTGTCGGGAACTGGCATATTTTTTCACTACGGGGATTGTTGTTTCTGCCTTTGGATTTCCTGTTATTCTTGCTCGTGTGGCTGTGGTAAGTTTTATTTTCTATTGTTTTGCCCATTTGTTGCTGAGTTTACTTTAGAAGCTTATGTCTGGAACCTCAATTCATTTTCTGTTGCTTAGATTTAATGCTCAAGGCCAGACTTTTTAAAAGTTTTTCTCTTTTCCCATTTTAGATCTGCCTTGGCTATGTTTTCAGAATGCCTGCTTTGTTTCTTTTAACAGCTTTTAGCCAGACCATTTGATTTCTTACTTTTTTAATTTTAAGCTTTTTTTTCTGGAATTGTTTTTAAATCTTTGCTTCCTATCTAAAGGCAATCCACAAAGACTATCATAACTGATTTTCTAGTTCCAAAATGAACATCATATCAAACTCTCTGGCAAATAGGATCATGGACACAATTGTTGACTCAATATGATAGGCATACATGAAGGGCCAGCTGTGTAATTGCTAGAAGACAGAGTGAATAAAGTGACATCTTTCAATCAGTGTAAACATTTTCTTTTTGTCTCTAAAACTAACATTGTGGGTATAATTTATTCAGCTCTTTGATGTTCACTGTTTTTCACTGTATTGGCCACATACACCCTCCCTCCCTCCTCCAACTACAAATGGTTTTAATTTTGTGGAACTCTTATTTGGGGCATTGATTATCAGATAAGCACAAGTCTTATTTAATCATTCAGTAAATACCTTTGGAACATGTGTTCCTTGTAAGACACCAGGAATAAGAGGCAGATAATGTCTCTGTTCTCAAAGAGCACAGAAACTAGCCTTATGGGTAAGTATACTATAAATGTACTTTTGTGATAATTGAAATGAGATCAGAATGCCATAGGAGCCCCGAGAAAATTCCAGTTGGCATTTGATGTGGGCCTTTAGGAGAAATAGGGTTTTGATTAAAATAGGGAAGGCTACTCATTGGAATGGCAGCCAAGTATGAGAATGCACTATGTGGAATAAAGAGCGGTTCAATATGATTGAGGAAGGGGTCGAGATGAAGACTAGAAAGGTTGGTAAAACCTGATGGGGAAGGGTCTTGAATGCCATGTGAGGTTGATAATAGAGAAGCATTGAAGACTTTTGAATGCGAAATTGTCATGACCTTATTCTTCTTGTGCCTTAGACTCATACTTAACTTTTTGCTGTAAAAATTTCTGTTTTTGCCTTTCTGTACTGCATCATATTTTATGAAGAAACTCTTTGATGTTCTCTCTTGGTTAAAATAAAACAAAAAATGGCCACTAGAGGGTACTCTCATCCCTGTCTAAGCCTTGTAAAACCATCTGCCATGCTGGAAGGCTGTTTTTGTGTGTATTCAGATTATTATTTAAAGTCTTTTCTTGCCTGGGAAGAAAAATAATCAATCCAATCCATAACTCTCTAGTTCCTGTTTTCATGAAGAAAGGCAATACATAAAGAACTTCCATACCCAATATTGTAATTGAACCATTTATAATCTTGCTAGATGTATTTTACTTCAGGCAATCATTGTCTATTGAAAATAAGTAGAGAAGTATGTCTAGTAGGGAAAAATGCTAAGGATGATACTAGACTTAATTAGCAAGCATCATGAAGTAATTAGACTAATTACTGAATAGTTCACTGTCTCCCGCCTCTAACATTTAAGCCTTTTAACAGTTATATGTGATATTTCATTGGATGTTTCTAAGCAGAAAATAATAGAGATTTACATAGAGTACAAGATGAAGAAGGTAAGGATTTAATCTTTTTTTTTTTCTTATGTTTCAGATCAAATGGGGAGCCTGTGGCCTTGTGCTGGCTGGCAATGCAGTCATTTTCCTTACAATTCAAGGGTTTTTCCTTATATTTGGAAGAGGAGATGATTTTAGCTGGGAGCAGTGGTAGCACTTTATTCTCACAAAATGCATTTAATTTCTCAGAATTCATACTATATGTATATGGTTACAAGTGACATTTTACTACAAAATTTAATATGCTGGGTTTTTTTTAAATACCTTTATATCATGTTCACTTTAAGGAAGACTACATGGGAAAATGATTAGTTTTACTAACAGCAAATAGATCTCTCTGTTTATTCAAGTTGAATTATATTATTCATTTGGCTGTTCATATGGTCATGGTGCCCTCAGAAAGTTTGTTCAGTCTTACAGACCTGTTGACTTTCACGGTGCTCCCATGTCTGCCCTGGCATGGGCTTGCGTCAGCAGATAACCTGCTGAGCAGGTCTCATTCTGCTTAGGACTTCCAAGATACATGGTGGCCCAGAAGACAGAGGTGTCTCTTCGTGTTGTATATCCTTGATTCTCATCGTGTGGTCCATATGCCAAGAGCATCCACATCTCTAGGAGTTTATTAGGAATGCAGAATCCAAGGCCCCAACCTGAGCCCCGAGCATTTTGATGAGATTCCAGGTGAATCATGGGCACTTTAAAGTTTGAGAAGTGTAGTCCCAGAGGAATAAGCTTCGTTCTTAGCTTCCTTGTCTCCTCCTTGACTGAACCATTTAAACTCTCTGATATTTAACTGCTCATTTGTAAAAATTGCTTCACCTGCCCTCATGTCGTGCCTGAGCCCAGATTCTGATATTTGTAAAATGTCCACACGTATAACATATAGGTTTAGATCCTCAAGTTTGGGAAGTGTTCTCAGTAGGGAACAGCTATGCCTTCACACTGTATGAAAGGCAGGGACTGTTTTCACAGTGCTGGGGAGGACAGAATAATTTAAGAGCCCCACCAGTTGCAGGTGAGGGAGGTTAAGCTGGAGTGATTTGCTACTTATGCAGGATGGGGAAGCGTAGATAGGTATTACTGTTTAAAGTCCCTTTGTGATCTGATACCCCCCCGCCCCGCCCCCAGCAGTTCTTATTTTCCTTTACTTCATCATGGAGCTGGCTTCTCCTTTCTCGAGAGACACAGAGCCAAGTAAGCAAGCAGAGGGTGAGCCTCTTCATTTTATTTACGTGTTGATGTACTTAACTGTCTTTCATGTCCAGTAGGACACACACACATATATTTTTTACATCTTTAAATGAATCATTGGGAATATATGTCACGTTGGATCCCGTAACCACAGTTTTTCTAGCTTAATTGTTTTGCTCAAGACCTATTGAGAAAAGAAAATATGGGAAGTAGAACTACTTGATCAAAATATAAATGATTTTTAAAGCATTATTAATGTATGGTAACTGACATGTTCAAAATACCAAACCTTTGAAATTTGTAATAATGATAATTAGCACCCCCCCACTCCATCGTTTCCTAGAGTGATACTGTCGACCAGAAGATAAAAGTGATACCCAAAAGGATAATGTACAAAGTTATATTTTGGTCTTGTGAGTGATTATATGTTTTCAATGTTCTAGGTACATGTAGAATTGTTAAAGTTGTTATTGCCAGTATTTATATTAGAAAAATTATATGCACACTTTATAGTTTTAACCAGCATTTTTAATAGCACTTGCACTTACTGTGTTGTAATAAATTTCACTTTTAACAAAAAAGAGAAGTTTAATTTTAAAAGTCTTTTTTTTTTTCTGATGTACCCTTGCTTTAAAAGGAAACAAAATGCTTAAGCGAGAATTTCTTGGTATTCTGCAGTGGACATTTTTGAGCAATCATCTGTTCTGCAATAGAATAATAGCATTAAGTTTTAAAATACCACTTTGAGTATTTAGTTGATGTACTAGCTTTTCTTTCTCTTAGATGGTAATAATAATTAATTTATACTACCTTTTGTAAAAGTACCTCTCTTGTTTACATTCAGTTCAAATAACAAGGTAGCCTTAATATGTAGCCTTAAAGCTTATCTCTTGATTGCATTTCCAGAATGATATAAAATACTTGTATATAAAATATTTTTTGCTATTCCTTAATACTGAAGTTATTCTTCTGTAATGCCTAAGTGACATTTAAGTAACACATAGCTATAGAAAGTATCACTTTAGATGAATGTACCATATAGAAGTTTCAATCTTGGTAACACAAATTCAAACATTTTTTTTTTCCTTATGAAATATTTACTTTTTTCTCTATACCATAGGATATACTTTGAAGATTCAAAACACATTGATTATATTTTAAAACCAAGACTACACTTAATAATTGCTCATGAATAAGTGACCTTATGAAGGGATTCTCTGTCATGTGCCAAACAACTGGCTTATAGGCAGACTTTAAAACACTTTCCCACAAAATCAATGTTATGCTTTGGTGATTGAGCTCCCAGGCCCAGCTTTCCAGGCAGGCTAAACCCTAATGTAACTGACCAGTAACACCAAAGATCTACCCAAGTTGGGGTCTTAGAATAGGGTAGTGTGAACAGCTTGGAAGACGGAAAGTGCGAATTTCTACCTTTTTCCCAGGAACAAGGTCTTCTTTTTTTGCAGCCACTTTCATCTCCTAATGTGCTTGCAGTCCAGGGACACTCTTTGAGGCCTGTTCACCTACTCTTGATTCATAACTTGCCTCCCAGCCTACCCATCTCTTGAGGTTCTCCATACTCCCACCAGTTTTCCTAGTATAGATGAATCATGTGGTTTAGGAAGAAAACACTTAGACCAAACTCCTCACAGAAAGAATGAATGACTTGTGATCTTCCTGCCCACGTCTAAAATGTATTGATCCCTGTATCAAGCATTTGCTGAAGCCTCTGGCAGCTACATTTTCCAAGGACACTGGAACCCAGTGACTCATTCACAGAAAATGGCAATGTTTCATGGTGACGTGAAAAAGCATTCCAACTGTTTATACAAGGGTGATATTTTGGGACAGGGACAGTCCTCTCATTTCTCATCCCATCCTCTGACTGCCCAGTTCATCCTGTTTTTTCGTAGTTGTTTCTTTTCCTCTACCTTGAACCCCCAGATTTTTCTTACAGCCTGCATGGAACCTTTACATCTGAGGTATCTCCTTAATGAAAATGCTTCTGATGTTGCTTTATGTTACTTACATTCCCTGTACCCTCAGGGAGATGCTTAAGAAATGTCACCAAAATGTGCCTTTACAAAGTTTGCAAAGTTCGCATTTTGTACTACAATTTAACCAAAATATTTATGAGGATGTTGGCATTTTCCAAACAGTAATTAGTTCACAAGTGGGAAATATTGTTTCTATTGAGGAATGTAAGTCATGCATTTAAATTTTTTCCTTTTGCCGTTTTGCCTCATGAAGTACCTTATTTACAAAAGTCCTGGTGTCTAATGACTCACAACTTATAGTCTGCCTATGCTACTAGAGTAGAAGAGTGATGCTTGTAACCCCGAACGTGGTGTGAAAGATCCCCCCAAGACTGCTTTAGAATGCATTATATATGTATTATGAGAATAACTGCTTTTAAAATAAAACTTGTCATGTATGCTTAAACAAGAACTTTTATTTACATTATTAAACCAAAACATTTATATTTGGCTTTGGGATGCATTATGTTTGGGAAGGAGACCAGCAGATTTATCTCCCCAGTGTCTTTACTTGGATAATCTTCCTGTGAATTTGGCTAGTTTTGAACCTGTACTTGTGGTTGAAGAGAAGCAGTCCAGGAATGTGTGCGCCCTGGAAGGATCCAATTGCTGACTGCAGCTTTGCCATGGCAAAGACTCTAAAGGTGGAGAAAGGTGGTGCAGGGCATGGTTCATCAAGAATTGGCTGTTGGAAAAGGGAGAAGAACTCAACACTTTAAAAAGGTGCTTTGTATATTTTGAGAAGTTTTGTGCACCATAGAAAGGAATGCACTGATGTACAATACTACTTAAGGAATAATTTGTCCTTATGTACAAAACATTTGAGAAAGATCAGATGTTTTACAGGTAGATTTATTTTAAATTAATTTTTTTTCTTACAATGTTGTAGTCCCCATAGTTTTCCTGCCACTATATTACCTGTGAGCCATCACCATTATTCCCTTGTGTTCTTCCTTCCCATTTTGCCTCCTCTTCTGCCCCTACCGTTGCTGTATGCCTCAAATCTATGGTCAACTTGCTAGTTTTGACTTTTTCTTGACATTTTATTTGGTTTCTCTATATTCCACATAAAAGTGAAACCATCTGGTATTTACCTTTTTCCTTCTGACTAATTTCACTGAACATAATCCCTTCCAGCTCCATCCATGTTGCTGCAAATGGCATGAGTTTGTCCTTTGTGATCACTGAGTAATATTCCATTGTATAAATATACCACAGTTTTTTGATGCATTCATCTATTTGGGGATATTTAGGTTGTTTTCATATGTTGGGTATTGTAAATAGTGCTGCAATAAACATAGGAGTGCAGGTTTCCTTTCGAATTAGTGTTTTTGTGTCCATTGTAGATTCCTAGGAGTGGATCTGCAGGATCAAATGGTAGATCCATTTAGTGTTCTGAGGAACCTCCACATAGCTTTCCATAGTGGCTGGTCCAGTTTATGTTCCCTTGCAGGTAGATTTAGACAGATTATTGTAAATAAACTGACCTAGGTATTTATTTGCGTGGCACGACTAAAAATAAAGTCAAATTTTTAAATCAAAATTTGTTAATAACAACATGACTCAAATGTCCATAAGTAAAAATAGTTTCTAAGGAAACTTATTGGAACAAGGGTTTGCACATACGCTTTTTGATTTAAGGGGCATGCAAAATAGGTTGAGATACCTACCTATTTGGAACTGGGGATGAATAATATGGAGGAATATACCTGATATTTATAACTCCTATTTTGAGATTTTTTTTTTTGAAGATTTATTTAATTTATTTATATAAGCACTGGGTACAGTCAGAAGCGCGGGAGGGTGAGAGAATTCACCAGAGCCAGAGTGGAGCGCAGAACAGGCAGACTGACGAAATACACTGCTGAGGGGAGCAGCGGGCAGCAGGAGAGGTCTGTGCGCCATGTGGGACCCTCGCCAGTGGCCGGGGATCGAACTGGCGCTGCAGAGACTGCGGGCAGCTTCGCAGCCCAGCGCTCAACTGCTGCGCCACCAGAGGAGGCCCTTGAGATTTATTTTTAAGAAATACCTTTATTTTTGGCCAGTTAAATATAATTTAAAAGGTTTTGTGAAATCATTTTAATTGGAAAATTATTTTATTCTTTGTGTTTCCTTCAGTAGTTCTTAAATTGTTTTCACTTATCAGTCAAGTCTTACCCAGTTTTGCTCTTCTGAATAGTTATCTTATTGAAGTAACGTGGCATTATAATGTGTTTCTGGTGTACATCATTAAAATTCAGCTTGCATATAAAGTTCACCACTACCCTTCACCATGCAATTGATCCCTATTATCCGATTTACCCACCTCTTTCCCCCTTCCCTCTGGAACCTCTAGTTTGGCTTATCCAGAAGTTTATTTTTGCTTTGTTTTGCTGTTATTTGTTTGTTTGGTTTCTTTCTATATATACCACATGTGAGTGAAATCATGTAACATTTGTCTTTGTCTGACTTATTTCACTAAGCAAATACCCTTTAGGTCCATCCATGTTCTTGCGAATGGCAGGAGTTCATCTTACTTTTTTATAGTTGAATAGCATTTCATTATGCATAGATACTTCATCTTCTTTAAAAAAGAAATTATTGGGCCTCCCTGGTGGCGCAGCGGTTGAGCGCTGGGTTGCGAAGCTGCCCTCAGCCTCTGCAGCACAGGTTCGATCCCCGGCTGCTCCCCGGCCACAGCAGGAGGGTCCCACATGGCGCGCAGACCTCTCCTGCAGCCCGCCGCTCCCCTCAGAAGTGTACTTTGGTCCTTCTGCCTGCTCTGCTCCCTGCTCTGGCTCTGGTGAATTCTCTCACCCTCCCGCACTTCTGACTGTACCCAGTGCTTGTATAAATATAAACAAATAAATAAAAAATATTAAAAAAAGAAATTATTTTTATTGAGGTATATTTGTGTTTGTATTTTAGGGGTATAAGTTCATACCTCTTAAGAAATGTTGCCCTACTGGACCCACCACCAAAGCACCAATAATCCTCCGCCAGAGTCCATGGAACCCCCCTATCTCCTTGGCTCTACATCCCCTACTGGTAGCCTCAGTTCTGCAGTCAGATTTCTAGGCAGATGTTGGACATTGAGTTACCGTATTATCCAGCAATTCCATTCCTAGAGATATAGATGAAAGAGATGAAACATACATTATAGAAAACTTGTATGCAAATATTCATAGCAGCATTATCCACAATAGCCAAAAGAGGAAATAATCCAAAAGTTTCTCAGCTGATGCGTGGTAATATATTATGGTCTATCTATACAAAGGAATATTTACAGCCATTAAAACATGAAGTACTGGCACAGGCTACAGTATGGATTAACCTTGAAAACAGGTTAAGGGGGGGACTTCCCTGGAAGTGCAGGGGTTAAAGACACAGTGCTATCAAGCTATCGTCAACCACTGTGGCATGAGTTCAATCCCTGTCCAGGGAGCTAGCCCACATGGTGTAGCAGACCTCTCCTGTGTCACTCACTGCTCCCCTCTGCAGTGTATTTTAGTAGATCAGCCTGTTCTGCTCCCCACTCTGTGTCTGGTGAACCCTCTCACCCCCCACACCTCTGGCCTACACCCCAGTTCTTGTATGCATAAATTAAAAAGTTAAACAGGTTAGGGGGGAAAAAAGTCACAAAGACCTATGTATTGTATAAATCCACTATATTCAATGTAAAGGAATCTGTAGGAATAGAGTGTGGTTGCCAGCAGCTGAGGGGAGGGGAAATGAGGAATGGTTGCTAGTGGGTAGAGTTTCTTTTTGGGGTAATGAAAATGTCCTGGAACTAGAGGTGATGGTGCACAGCATACTGAATGCACTAAAAGCCATTGGACTGTATTTTAAGAGGGTGAATTATATAGCATATGAATTTCATCTTAATAGAAACCAAAAAGTCAAATAGCCAAAAAAGAAACAATCCATAAGTCCATTGACTATTAAGCATGGCACAAGCTTATAGGTGATGAAAATGTTCTCAACTGATTGTCATAGTGTTTGTACAACTGACTATACTAAAAATCATTCAACTGTACATTAACTGAATTTGCTGCGTATTATGGCATGTGAATTATATCTCAAACCTGCAAAATATGAGTGAATGCATGAAGAAACTCTTTGAACTACCAAAAAAAAAAAAAAAAACAAAACCTGAGATCAGTTATTCACTGACTGTAGGAAATTATCTGTAGAATGCAGCCAACATCAAAATAATTCAAATTATGAGGGGGTCTTAACTGCATTGTCAATGTGAATAACGGATAGAGATACTTGTAAAGATGTGAATGAGAAAGCTCCCATTTTTAGGGTGCAGTTTTAGTTATTCATTCTTTCAGTAAGTTTTTGTTGAACATCTACTGTGTGCCAGATATTATTGTAAGGGTCGAAGATATAGCAGTGAAAAAAATAGACAAAAAGACCTCATCACCACGCAGCTTACTTTTTTTGTAGGGAAGCAAAGAATAGATATATAAATAGGTGAAATGTGTGGTATGTTACTGGAAATGATGGGCCAAAACAAAACAAAGGTGAAGAAAGGAAGGGCTAGAGAGTGCAATCCTGGGTTGCATAACGATGTTTAGGCCAACTGCCTGCACAGAGGCAGCCTGACAGGTGCATCATGGGACCTGGGTGTGTTGTAAGTTAGACCATTCATGTTTGCATAATTACCCTCTATGACATTCACACAACCTGAAGGACACATTTCTTAGAACATAGTCTTGATGTTAAGTAACACGCTTCTGTATGTGAGTGTGTATGTGGGTGTGGGTTGGTGCTGGTGGTTTCCATGTTTAGACACAGTGGCCAGGCGAGGTTTACGTAGATGACATCATAGGGGTGGAAGTTGGGGACAATGATCCAAAATCATCTGAGGAGAGAAGTGATTAGAGAAGCACTAAGGTCCAGGGGAAGCACGCCTCTTGACTAGTAAGGAGCACTAACGAGCAGATTGGTGGGTGGTAAGATAGTGTGTGTAGGGTCAGACAGATCCTATGGGCCTTATAGATCATTGTAGGACTTTGGCTTTTGCTTAGGGATGAGAAGGCACCAGAGGGATTTGAGCAGGAGTAGTATATGACTTGGCTCGTAATGGGGTTCCACTAATTGTGTTTTATTTTAAAAGTATTTCATAAAGAAAGAGAAGAAAAAATGATTCTCCTTTTCCAAATTAACTGTTTATCTTTGAAAGAGGAAAAGGGACCAGCAAACCACAGAAAACATAAATAAATGCATTTTGTTCAGGGACAGACGACGAAGGCAATGAGGCTGAATCACAGATTCACGGAATCAGTTATGGCTACAGTACTCAGGAAATGGCTTGGTCCTTAATTAATCATTCCACGTTGTTAAACTCAGTGGAGATAAATTTAGCCAGCAGTAAGTGGGATGAGATGAGTTCTCATGAAAACATGTTTTCAGTGAGGTTGGCAAGGAATGTATAAAACCAAAATAACCCAAACTGTGTTCTAATAGTGTTGCTTTTGGTGTGTCCCATCTCCAGCGATGACCACTTGGGTTGTCTGTCCCTGGGGCATGAAGACATAGTGCGTTCACTTTGGATTCAGCCTCGGGGGTTGGGACAGTGAGGTGGAGGGTAAGCGATGACTTGGATGCTTTGGTGTTATCGCCCCCTTGTGGCGACTCGAGGCGCCCACTTTGGAATAATTTCTGTGTATTTCCTATCAGGGCTCACACTTAGTCAAGTTTAAACTATCAGTAACATGAAAGTGACATCTAAGTATTAGCCCTTGGACTGCGAACATTTAGCGAACAGGGGGAAAGCTGCTATTTTAATGGCTGACAGCACAATTCTTTTTAGAAAATAGGGTTTCTTTTTTCATTAAACAGAAGAATCATTAGAGTGTCAAGAACTGGGGCTCAGTGCAGGGGAAAGAACTGGAAATGATTTTGCTTAAGAATGGGAGAAGAATTGGGCTTTGCTTCAGAATGAAGAGAAGAGAGAGTTGCTGCTGGTGGGGTGAGTGGGATATACCCAAGGAGGAGGCCATGGAGAAGGAGAGAGAAATCCTGGCTCAGTGAAAGTCCTTTGAGGATGGCAGCTCAAGGACTTTTGAGAGCAAGGATGTCTAATAATAACCTTTCAGGCACCTGTGCAAATGCACAAATGTCTCCCCATCCACATGGCCCCCGCCTCCTTTGTCCAGACTGCCTGGCACTGGATTCAGATTCTCAGTGTATGCTATTGATGACTTTGGGGTTCTGGTATATCCGGAAGGGGCAATTAAAGAAAAGGAGAATGCTTGCATATTGGGGTAAATGTGGGGCTAAGTCTGGAGAATAGCAGCGGGAAGTCAAGGGGTAAAGATAAAGCACTCACTGTGGACCCAGAAGTGAGTGGGAGGGCCACATCT